GTACATTTTTATGTACAACGTTGAAACTGGAATGTTTTTCCTTTTATTTTTGATAAAATTGTCATACATAATTACAGTTGATTAATAAAACTGACTAAAAACATTTTTGTGTGTTTTCAGGTGCTCAAACTCTTCCTGCCACTGAATAAAAACAGAGAATGAAAACAGAGGTTATTGTGACTTTTTATCTCAGAATTGTGTAACACCAACTCACAATTCTGACTCTCAGAATTTTGAGATGTAAATTGGAAATGTTGTCAGAATTGCGAGGTTTAAACTCACAGTTCTGAGTAATAAAGTCGCAATTGCGTTATGTAAAGTTATAATTTTAAATTCTATAAATTATTTTGTCTTAATCCAGCCAATCTAAAAAAAAAATCTGACTTTCTTCAGAAGAACAACACAAGGAAAACACTGGAAAAAGTTCCTTGGGAAAGATAAAAAATATTTTAAAATGAATTAAAATTTGACAGAAACTCTTAATTTTGTCTTAAATTGTACACAAAGTATGAAACTGACCTGGTGTGTGAAGTCTGTTCTTCAGTGTAGAACCGAAACGCTGCAGAGCTCAGTGTTTTGGCTGATTTCAGAAGGACTGAGCGATTTCTCTACAGTTTCACAATAACAAAGGATTGCTTGACTCAAATGTCAGTCTTTCCTTCAAACTCATATAGTATCCTGTCAACACCTCATGTAAAAATTATTGATTCACTTCCAACTGATACTGAATATTAAATAGGGGGCTATTATCTCCAACTTCTAAAAACATAGACTACCTAAACATGAATTTATTCACAGAATACCAGCTTATACCGCATGACATGTTAATAAACCATCTTTGAACCTGATCACAGATAAAATCTGAGAAGGTTTTTAATTAACAAAATGACTTTTTTTTTCCTGTACACATAGCTCTCAAATGACAGAGGAAGACATCTGATATTTTAATGGTGCTTTCAAAGCCTGTTAGAGCTGCACTTTCTGCTGTTACTGTATTGAAAGACAGCTTGAAGACTCTATTGGATCAAAATTTCAACAAAAGTATCTCAGTCACAAAGTTTCACACCAAACCATTATTTACATCAATACGTTTGTTATGTTTTGCTCAGAGACCATGAAACTTTTAGCGAAAATCTGACCCCATAATTCTTGAAAACAAATCGATTTCAAGGTGTTTCACTCCTCAAAGTGCTCTGTGTCATCAACTCGATTCTCATATGGTGTTTTTCCTCAGTCTTGTTTTCTCTAAGGCCTCACAGTGAGAGTTGTCAAGATTTTTAATATCCTTGAATGGTCAGTGGTGTGTAAAAACTCAAAGAATGTTGAGGCTTGAAGAGATAAATCCAGCAGAAACACACCCAGAAACAGCTTGCTGGATTACTTAGAGTTAGCACATGTGAAGCAGCTTTAAAACCTATTCGAAAGCTATTTAATGCGTAATGTACAAGTGAAGGCAGAATTATTAGCCCCCATGTTTATTTTTGTCCCCAATTTCTGTTTAATGGAGAGATTTTCTCAACACATTTCTAATCATAAGTTTTAATAACTCATTTCTAATAACTGATTTATTTTATCTTTGCCATGATGACAGTAAATAATAGTTGACTAGATGTTTGTCAAGACACCTATACAGCTTAAAGTGACATTTAAAGGCTTAACTAGGTTAATTAGGTTAACTAGGCAAGTTAGGGTAATTAGGCAAGTCATTGTATAACGATGGTTTGTTCTGTAGACTATCAAAACAATATATAGCTTAAAAGGGCTAATGATTTTGAGCTTAAAATGGCTTATAAAAAAAAATTAAAACTGCTTTTATTTAAGCCGAAATAAAACAAATAAGACTTTCTCCAGAAGAAAAAATATTATCAGACATACTGTGAAAATTTCCTTGCCCTGTTCAACATAATTAGGGAAATATTTAAAAAAGAAGAAAAAAATCAAAGGGGGGCTAATAATTCTGACTTCAACTGTATGTATTGATGAGTATTGTATTGATCAAGTTCTGCCACATTTTACATTAAGGTTCTATTCATTAACATGAACTAACAATAAGGATCTTCTAAAACATTTTCTTAAGATTATTAAAAGCTTTAACAGCATTTGTTGTTGTTAGTTCATCACCAACATTTATTTTAAGATGTGTTAGTTCATTATTAAAATTTGTAAAATTTGCATTTGTTGGCGTAATTAAATGGCCAATTTAGCCACTGAATAAAACTGCTTTAGGTCTGTTCAGTAACTTGTCGCTTTTCTTAAACATTGAAATGCTTTATACCTGTATATTTTTAACTTCAGTTAACATTTTAGAATCTTTGCTGTGTTTTTGCTGTTTTGTTTTGTTTTAAGAGTTCACACTTAGCTGATGATTGATTTATAAAGCTTGTTTGGCATTCTGTTCTGGGAGAGAGCCCTGAGCTCATAAGATCCTCGAGCCCGGGGCTCCCTCCCATTGCAAGGCGAGAGGGGAGTTTGAGCTCAGGTAGATCTGGAGAACTCCCCTGCTGTAGTAACTAATGAACAGATAGTGATCACTCTTAAGAGATAACTTCTTACTAGGAGCATGTCTATGGTGCCAATTTGGATTGGTCAATTAACTTAAGCTGCATGTTTTTTTGACGGAGAGAAGAAACCAGGGAGAAACCCATGTGAACACGGGGAGAACATGTAAACTCTGCACAGAAATGTCGGCTGGCTTGGTACCAGTGACGTTCTTGCTGTGAAGTAACAGTGGTTATCACTGGGCCACCGTGCCACCCATCTAGGAAAGGGGGGATTCTTCAAAACGAAGATGGCTGTCATATTGAACTTAGGGTACTTATAATGGCTTAGGAATCGTCTGATTGGTGAATCATAAATTAAATAATGCAGGGCCGGCTGCAAGCAATCATAAGCACGTGAATAAACTTCACTTATTTGTATTTTTGTTATTGTTATTTTAGTTTTAAGCTGAACTAAATGGAAAAAATATATATACAGGTATATATTGGTCCCCTTATTTATCTGGGGTCGCCACAGCTGGGAGACCGGAGCACCCGGAGGAAACACACACCAACATGGGGAGAACATGCAAACTAAACACAGAAATGCCAACTGACCCAGCTGGGATTCGAACCAGCGACCTTCTTGTTGTGAGGCGACAGTGCCACCCAGTTTTAAATGATAACTTTTATTTTATAACTAAAAACCCTGGCATTAACAATGAACAGTGTTTGTTTAAACCACTAATAACCATTGTGAAATGTTAACCTTTTTTTTTTAAAACTAGGCTATACCGCATTTTGCACAAATCAGTTTACAAGCCATTTCATACACAAAATTCTATAAAACATTTTATTTGAACACAATTATAATCACAAGAAATGTTACAGTCTGTGTCTTTCCACACCTAAACTTATACAGCGCTCGACACTAAACCCTAATTAACCTTATTTTACAAGTTCAGAAATGTACAGTAAATAAACAGTAATGCTACACACCATATCATTATATACAGTACAATAGGAGCAGGTGCATAGCAGAAGAGGATCTCTTTCCAGAAACACATTATAGAAACCAGCAGTGATAAAGTCGACAGGAACGATCACAGAAATGAAATGGATGTTGAGCGCCAAATGGATTTTGCATAGATAATCAATCACTTTTTTGATGATCATTTAATATGTTGACATACGGTCCTTTTGCAGCATCGCTTAATGTCTGATAAAAACTGATCATCTCAGGATGCAAGTCGAAGACAAAATTATTAGTGAAATTAAGCAAATTATTAGTGAGGCATTTTTCACAGTATTTCCTATTATATATACAGTTGATGTCAGAATTATTAGTCGCCCTTTGATTTTTTTTCTTCCTTTTTTAAATATTTCCAAATGATGTTTAACAGAGCAAGGAAATTTTCACAGCATGTCTGATAATATTTTTTCTTCTTTTTGTTTTATTTCAGCTAGAATAAAAGCAGTTTTTAATTTTTTAGACACCGTTTTAAGGTCAAAATTATTAGCCCCTTTAAGCTATATATTTTTCGTTAGTCTACAGAATATATATATATATATATATATATATATATATATATATATATATATATATATATATATATATATAATTTTTATGATTTTTTCTTATATATTTTTTTTTTCTGGAGAAAGTTTTTTTTTTTTTTCATTTGGCTGGAAAAAGCAATTAAATAAAATTTTAGGTCAATATTATAAGCCACCTTAAAGTCATTAAATTATTATTTTTTGATTGGCTACACAGCAAATTCACCAGTGTTAAATTCTCTGTGTTAAAGCATTTCAGAGTAAAGTGCTGAAATTACAGAGTTAGATTTGGATAAATGAACACAATCAGAGTTCAGAGCTGATTTGATCCAGTGTAAACTCAAGGAGTTACAGGCAACCAACACTTGATGGTGGTATTTCCAACAAATACTTGACCAAAAATCTTAATGGAACATAAAAGTCATGCCATTTTTAAAATCCCTTAAAGTTTCAATTTATAATGCTGGCTGCAAGAGTTGACGTGTTTTGTTAATAGAAATGTTTTATAACATACTTGGGATTTTTTTTCTGTCATTTTTGGAGAATTGTTCTATGTAAGTTATTTGAGTTGAAATAACCCTGCTATTTTTCCAGTGCAAAACAGACCACTGTTGTCCAATAATTTGCCTAATTGAGCCTTTAAATAGCTCAGTATTAACATCTTGCAAAAAACCTAGTAAAATATTATGTAGTTTCACCATGGCAAAATAAATAATTTATGTAAAAAAAAAAGATAAAATTCTTAGGTTTAAATTTAGGTACTATTAGGTTTAAAAATGTGTTGAAAGTAGCTTTGTCTTCAATTTTGTCTCAAACTGTGCATCTTTTCAGCCACATTACTGTTATTTTATCATGTTTTCTTCATTCGATGACTCTCAGACAAACACAAATGCGGTAATCCTTAACCCTCAAAACCCATTTCAGCTGATAGAAAATAAGAGAACCGAACTGCATACGCACAAAAAATAAAACACACACATATCTGATATGTATTGGAATCAAATGCTACATCCATAACACTTGGTACAGTGACATAAGAAGAAAAATCACCCAACAACGACAATCGCAGACAGCTTTAAGGCAAACGATGGAAACAGCAGATTTGCCCTGAGCGGCACACACTGTAAAAAAAAAAGCAGATCACATCAATGCGCTTCTGATTTTGGCTCAAACAAAAGTGATCAAAAGAGCTTCTGTGTGACGTCAGCTAATCTCATTGAGACCTACACTTTCATATCCTCAAAGGAAGTTATTACAACCGGTGGATTTTTGATGACTGCTCAAAAATCAAGAGAATAAAAAATGAAAGAAATACTTTATATGTGACTCTACACTGGACATTACGCTATATTGTACATTTTACACACAGTAGGATGTAGTTGATACAGTAAACACGAACACTAAAGAACATTCTAAACTGTAAACCATCTCACAACGGAAGAATTCAAGTATTTAAAGACCCCATGAAAATAAAATGCCTTTTCTTATGTGCACCTCAGGTTGTGCTGGAATGATTGTATTCTACATCTCTGAATTTAGGGCTGCAATTCACAACACTTATCAGTTTATTAATATATAATACACAGCTCTGTGGATGTGGAATACATGGTATTCTCAAATTTAAACCAATTAAACAAATGAAACAGACTCGTCTGGGTTAGTCAATTCACTAACAGTCAAGATGATTAATAGAACCAGAGCTGTAGTAATCAGTCTGGAATACTTGATTCTGATTGGTCAGGAACAACATTCCAAGGTATGTTATTCCCAGATAACAACCGCTGAAGATAATAACACAGGCTTCTCCGGGAAAAATCTTAACCATCAGTAAATACGTTCATGCCTATATTTCTATGTTTATCTACTGTTTGGCGCCATCTTGTGACTGAATAATGTGCAGGTTAGTGTATGCTCCATTCAGCCGTTTTTGTTTCTGTCAGCTTTTTGCATTTAATTAAAAAATTGATACATTTTTACGGCTCAGAACAATGTTTTGTGTCGATTTGTTTTCGTGTTGTGACAACTGGCCATGAAAAAGTGGGATAAAGTACATCCAGGCGGTTGTTTTCACAGAATAAAGCCCTTCGTCTTATACAACAGCTGCCGATAAACCTGTTGGACTTCATTCTGCAAAAATAACTGCTTTAATTCGCACTCTAATTCAAACATTGTGGTTTTCCAAATAAAAACCATTATAAACTGGTTTAATGTGGCCTAATGCACCTTAAAACCACCTTCAGGACACACTACGCACAGGCAAGCACATAAAGCCACAGTATAAATGCAACGTGTTTCTTTTAGGAAAACACCTATTCAATTTATACAAGTGCATTAATATTGTCAGCTCATTTGGATGACTTTAAGGGGGCCCTATTATGCCCCTTTTTACAAGAGGTAAAATAAGTCCCTAGTGTGTGTATGTGAAGTTTCAGCTCAAAATACCACAGAAATAATGTTTATAACTCTTTTAAATGACGCATTATGATCCTAATTGTGTCATTTTGGTGACTGTCACTTTAAATTCAAATGAGATTGTGCCCCCAGCTCTCTTTTGAAAAAAAGGGTGGGGCTATAAATGCCTATGTCTCATTAAGATCATCACTAATGGGCGGGGCTTCCCCCTCTGATGACGCATATAAAGGAAGAATGTCAATCAAAGTGTTTCCGCAGACTGCTTTTATCAGACTCTGCTTTTATTTTAGACTCTTGCTTTCTCTCATATATTTGTGTTTCTTCTTCTCAGAGATGATCTAAACACACTGTAAAAATGCTGGGTTCTACACAATCGATTTGTGTTGGGACAACATGAAGGAATTAAGTTAACTTACTAGTTTTTGCTAATTTAATTGGATTTAAAATAGAATTATTAAGTCGCACTCTCAAAAATCTCAAGAAATGTATTGTTTCAGCTCATTTTAAAAAACTACTTTGAACAAACATCATTTTTGATTGCATATCTGGCTAGAAACAGATGGTAAATTGACAGATCTGTGGATGTTTTGCCCTCCAAGACTAAAACCAATGAAGTAACTTCATTCACCGTCTTTAATCAACACGTACTACTTTCATGTGGTCTTTAAATTCATACTTAAAGGTGTAGTTCACTTAAAAATGAACATTTATTCATCTTTACTATTGCTGCCAAACATTTACAAGTTATTTTATTCTGTTGAACACAAAAAATAAGATATTTTGAAGAATGTTGGAGACTTGTAACCATTGACTTTCATATTTCCTATTTTTTAAAGTTTATTTACTGTTATAAATTGCATTATGGGATGTTGACCTCTGCTCTGTCGACGTTTAATGTTGAAAATTCCGCTCTGCAGTTTAACAAAGTGACTTTTTATTGACATTTAAGTAGTTTGAAACAATTTACTGCATAGCAAGTAATCTTATTTCCAGGTTTTTAAACCATGAGGACATCAAATCACATTAAACTATTTAAAAAATGTGAACATCAAAGGTTATTGTAGAAAAATCAAGGTCCCATAATGCAAATCAAAAGCATACATAAGTGAATCGCAAAATATATATCTTGTTAAAGGGGTGGTCCACTACTATATCATATTTTAATCCAGGAGACATTGGCTTGTACAGAGTTAGCTTAGTAAAGCCTACAGTGAACAAAGTTTGGGGACTACAAAAAATACATGTCATAAACCCTTCAGGTTACGCACATACACCCTGCGCAGCAAAAGGGCGTGGCCAGAGGCGCTGTAATTTTAAAACAGAGATGCTTCTTGGTGATGTGGAGCTGACCTGTCACTGTACATTATGTTAGCTGACCAATCAGAGCCTCTTCAGAATGGGTCTTCGGTAGTGGTGGGCAAAGCGAGGCTTCATGAAACACTGAAACAGTCGAAGCAAATGTGTTGAAGCTTCAAAACATTTCGAAACCCGTCTCTACAGTGACACCTAGTGATCATTTTTTATGTATTGCAATGGAACAGCTTCAGCATAGAACCAGTAGAGCAAATTGAGGTATTGAACTCCACTTTGTAGAGTTGAACCTTAAGTTTTTATTAGACAAGAAACGCCAATTGACCCAGCCAAGGCTCAAACCAGTGACCTTTTTGCTATGAGGCGACAGCACTACCTACTGCGCCAACGTGTCGCCTCATCATAGTACTGTAAAATATAAATTTTTGTTTTACAGTGTTACAAAAATGCTATATTGATGGCGTATCCGCAGCTGTATCCTATCTAGAACACACCATAAAACAGTAACATTATTAAAATACATAAAATCACGGTTTCTGAATATTTGTACAAGTCTGGATTCGAACCCAAAAGCCATTTGAAGCACAGTAACAACATGCATACGCACGGTCCACTAGGCTATATGAGACAGAAGGTTTTTCTGGCCCTGTCAGTCAAACGCAGATTTGCCAAGTCTCAAAACGCTTCTGAAATGGCCGATGCTTTGAATCGCTTTAGTCACTTGCCCTGGTGTTTCGAAACACTTTAGTCATGTGACCTGGGTGTTTCGGATCATGCTTCGGTGCAGTGTTCCGAAACATTTGCGCTTCAAGATCTCGACACTGTTTTGAAACGTCAGTTTCACGTCAGCTATTCCTAATCTTCGAAGAAACTAGGAAATATGACTGTCGTTTTTATGTTAGCAGCGTAGCTGTATATAATCAAAATAGGATATATGAAAAAATAAGATGATTTTCAACAAATGAAGCATGAGCACACATTGCTTTTCACCTTGTAAATACAACAAAGCCTTAAAAATACACTTCGGACCACCCCTTAAATATAATAAAGTCTAATAAAGCCAAATCCTAAGAAAGTCAAGGGCAAAGAAAAAAAAACTCAAACAGGATGAATAAAATTGTCATTTATGGGTGAACTGTCCCTTTAATACCCTGATATACAGTATTCTAGCACTTCGAACCTGAGGATATAATAACCAGAGTCACGCAGAACAATAAAAACAGACCCCCAAAGCAATTCTCATAAAGCCTAAACCATAAGACAACACACATCTGAAGATGTTTTTGGCTTGTATAGTATCTCGCATCACTATCAGTGGGGTGAAACTTATAAGAAGGCAGTGTCAGATTAAAAGTGTGCATCCATAGCGAATAATATGCATATGTATATATTGAGTAAAGCACTAAATAATCTATTGCTGTTGTAATCTACAGGCGTCGTGCGGCTCAAACCCATGCAGGACATCCAGCGCTCTCAAATGTACACTCAAAGCAGGACTCAAATCCAGTCGGTTCTGTACAAACAACATCTGTGGAGGTAAGAAATGAGCGTTATGACAGTAAACTCAAGACTCGTCCTGGTGTGGCCACTGATCTGAGGCCTGCGGCGGGTCATTTTCGGTCCATCCTGTGCGTCGGTACAGTAATGAACGTCTGTCCGTATGATTGAGCTCATGGTTCGGGATGAGATGTGGTCATGTTGGAGGTCTTTCTGCTTCTTCTAAAGGAAATAAATAAACAAATAAAAAAATGAATAAATAAATTAATTAATTAATTATTCGTTTTACCAAAATAGCGAAACCCTAATTTTTTTGAGTAGGGATTTTGTGCATTACTGTGAAAATACGCAAAAATGTCTCAATGTTTAGTGAGTTCATTTTCATTTTTGGGTGAACTATCCTTTTTAAAAACAAGCAAAGTTTCAGTCTTTCCTGATTAAGCATAGCATCAGGTTCATGGTCAGCTTAAAGCAGACTGACTGACCTGTAGGTGAAGGCGAGTCGATGTCAGCACAGAAATGATCACTTCCTAAAGCAGCAATAGAGCTCCTGGGCCGAACACACCTCTCGCCAGAGAAACTCCTGCGCAGCAACGCCTACAGCAGCACAAAGCAGAGTTCAGTTCAACTTTGCAAAAATTTCCAATGTGCCGTGTATTAATAAATCCCCTGTACTAATAAATCCTGTGTATTAATATATTGGTTGTTTGAGGTTTATGATTGTGTTTGCGTTAGTGGTCATGCTAGTGTTTTGCTTTACCTTGCGTGTCAGAGGGCTGCTGGGAGCTGAAGCGCTGCTGTATAAACTCAGGCTGGAGTTTGATCTGCTGACCGTCAGTCCTTTAGCGCTGCCTCTGCGACCCGACGTCTCGAAGGCGTCTCTCGAGAGATACTTCTCCTTGATCTTCAGGTTTGTGCGTCCCTTTACTGGATGTGAAAAAGGTGAATTGAATAGGCTAAATTGTCCGTAGTGTATGAGTGTGTGTGTGTGTGTGTGTGTGTGTGTGTGTGTGTGTGTGTGTGTGTGTGTGTGTGTGTGTGTATGAGTGTGTGTGGATGTTTCCCAGAGATATGTCACATATATGCCAGAAACCTATAGGTCGACATATATGCCAGAAACCTATAGGTCGACATATATGCCAGAAACCTATATGTCACATATATGCCAGAAACCTATAAGTCACATATATGCCAGAAACCTATATGTAACATATATGCCAGAAACCTATAAGTCACATATATGCCAGAAACCTATAAGTCACATATATTCCAGAAACCTATATGTCACATATATGCCAGAAACCTATATGTCACATATATGCCAGACACCTATATGTCACATATATGCCAGACACCTATATGTCACATATATGCCAGACACCTATATGTCACATATATGCCAGAAACCTATAGGTCGACATATATGCCAGAAACCTATAGGTCGACATATATGCCAGAAACCTATATGTCACATATATGCCAGAAACCTATATGTCACATATATGCCAGAAACCTATATGTCACATATATGCCAGACACCTATATGTCACATATATGCCAGACACCTATATGTCACATATATGCCAGAAACCTATATGTCACATATATGCCAGAAACCTATAGGTCGACATATATGCCAGAAACCTATAGGTCGACATATATGCCAGAAACCTATATGTCACATATATGCCAGAAACCTATATGTCACATATATGCCAGAAAACTATAGGTCACATATATGCCAGAAACCTATATGTCACATATATGCCAGAAACCTATATGTCACATATATGCCAGAAACCTATATGTCACATATATGCCAGAAACCTATATGTCACATATATGCCAGAAACATATATGTCACTTATATGCCAGAAACCTATATGTCACATATATGCCAGAAACCTATATGTCACATATATGCCAGAAACCTATATGTCACATATATGCCAGAAACCTATAGGTCACATGTATGCCAGAAACCTATAGGTCACATATATGCCAGACACCTATATGTCACATATATGCCAGAAACCTATATGTCACATATATGCCAGAAACCTATATGTCACATATATGCCAGAAACCTATATGTCACATATATGCCAGACACCTATATGTCACATATATGCCAGAAACCTATATGTCACATATATGCCAGAAACCTATATGTCACATATATGCCAGAAACCTGTATGTCACATATATGCCAGAAACCTGTATGTCACATATATGCCAGAAACCTATATGTCACATATATGCCAGAAACCTATATGTCACATATATGCCAGAAACCTATATGTCACATATAACTGGGGGCCTAAGACTTTTGCACAGTGCTGTATATTTTTGCACTAACAGGCCAGGTTCTTTCAAAATTATTAATAAATGTTCTTCCTGGAAAATCATAATGTCTAAATGTTTGTTTAGAGTTGCTGCAGGTTTTGAATGGGTGTGTGTTATTCACCTCGACAGGGGTCGTTCTTCACCAGAAACTCATCTAATGCAGTCCATCCCCCACCGACCCGAACCATCAGAGTGCTTCTGAGTATCCGGACCATCCGCAACTGCTGAGAGTCTCCAAACTGAAGACAAACACAGAAATAATGGGTTCATATCGTGTATAAGCAGCATTATTTGTGTTGTACATATATCAGCTATAGTATATGTGCACTCACCCGGTAGCGGTTTGCGCTTATTTGCTCAACTTGAAACCTCTTTGGACAGTTGCACTGAGAGACCTGACGACTCACCTGCAGAATCAGCTTGTTGTTAATGATTGCACAGAAATAATCAATGAAGAGCAAATGCAAAAAAAATAAAAATAAAATAAAAAATTATATATATAATTTATATTATATATATATATATATATATATATATATATATATATATATATATATATATATAATAAAAAACATTATAATTTTATTTTAAAATAAGTTTCTCCTGCTCACCAAGGCTGCATTTATTTCATTTAAATTACAGAACACATTGTAAAATTGTGAGATGTTATTGCACTATAAAAGAACTGTTCAAAAGTAGTTTATAATTTAATTTAATAATTTATTCCAGTGATTTTAAAGATGAATTTTCAGCTTGATTAATTGAGTCACACAACTTTTTAAACTCCTTTTGAAAGTGATTTTTGCATAATATTTCCTCTTTAATTCATGTTTTTTTTTTTTTTATATTTATAATTGAGCATAAGATAATGATGATTTCGAGAGTGTTTCTGAAAGTAGAAGTGCACGCACCTCCTCGTTGATCTGGTCTATATCTACTGTCCTCCTGTAAGGGTCTCTGCTGGGGTGAAGCGCACTCACAAACTCATAATAGTCAATGAATCCGTCTCCGTTAACATCAAATATGTTGGCAACCGCAGTCATTTCCAGCACATTGGTGGGAAATTCTGTCAACAAGCAAAAGTTTATATTACCAATAGTAACACATATAAAAACAAACGTCTCAATGCATATATTGAAATATTTTACATGGAAATACTGTATATGTAATTTTAGTATATATCAATTTATCAGGTTTCTATATGGGAATACTTCAAAAAGCTCACTTGAGGCCAGAACACTGTCAATAAACTCCTTATGAGTGATTCTGCCATCCTGATCTCGATCAATGCTTCGGAAAACATCCAGAATTCGGGATTTGAGGTGACTGATCCACTGCATGTATCTTTTCCTCCAGATGTTGAAGTCGAAGTTAGCAAACTCCTCCAACTGCAGGTGCCAAAGAGAAGCGTCTTAGACAAACATACAGATCATGTTTCATCGATTGTACTGTGCAGTGATAATCTGAACCGATCCTCCCAATTGAGCTTATTATAAACATAAAGCAGTCATTGTAACTTAAATGAACCAAGACTTCTGGTCTAACTGGTATTTTCTTACCAAATCATTTTAATTTTTATGTATAGAGTATGTATATTTTTAATTTACACTTTAGAGTTTCACTGATCATCATTGAATGACTAGCAACTTGTAAAAAATGAGACTTGATTACTTGACTCCATTTCTGTATATTGGAATACTATTTTTAATTGTTTTTATGTCTTATTTCAGTTATATTTACGTTATCATTTGTGATTTTTCTTTCTGTTGGTTGCTGACAGTGAAACTGCACTGAAATAACAGAATAAAATATTGGTTCACAGTTTTCATAAAGTTCATGAAGACTTCCTAATAGTTTTCTCAACTCTTTCTCATACAAAGTTTATTTCCAAAGTTTAAAAAAATTAAGGTTTTTGAGGAAAACATGCAGTTGGCCATATCTTAGTTTTTAATCACAAAAGATTGTATTTCAGAACTAGTGTCAGAAGAGATTTTTGGTCAAATGTACTTTTTTTGGTCAAGATATTGACCAGCTGTTTTTTTTTCCAGGAAATTGTTTCTCTTATTCCTAATCTGGGATTATTTAGAGCTCTTTAAAACTGCAGTTTAACAGTTCAAATCAATGACTACCACTGAAGTCCACTCTATAGAGAACAGAAAAAAAGAAAGATGAAAAGAAAAAGAAATAAAGAGGAAGAAAACATTAGGAGAAAGAAAAAAGAAAGAAGAAATAAAGAGAAAGAAATAGAAAAATTAAACGAGAAACAGAAGAAAAATGAAAGATGGAAAAAAGAAAGGAGAAACAAAAGAAATAGAAAGGAAAAAAGGGAATAATGAAACAGAAAGCAAAACAGATTGATACAAAGAAAGAAAGAAAAGATAGAAAGAAAAAAGAAAGAAAGAGGGAGAAAGAAAGAAAAAAGAAAGAAAGAAAATTTAAAAAAGTGTAAAAAAGATAGAAAAAAAGAAAAAGATAGAAAAAAGAAAGAAAGAGGAAGATAGAAATAGAGGCAAAACAGGAAAAAAAAAGGGGGAAGAAAGAGAGATCAACACAAAAAAGAAAGAGGGAAAAAGAAAGATAGAAAAGAAAGACAGAAATAAACTCAGAAAAAGATAAAAAAAAAATTTGAAAGAAAGAGGGGAAAAGAAAGAAATACAGAAAAGAAGAAAGAAAGAAAGAAAGAAAGAAAAAATAAAGAGAAAGAAAAAGGAAAAAGAAATAAAGAGTAGATAGATAGATAGACAGACAGACAAATAGATAGACAGACAGACAGAGATGATAGATAGATAGATAGATAGATAGATAGATAGATAGATAGATAGATAGATAGATAGATAGATAGATAGATAGACAGATAGACAGATAGATAGATAGATAGATAGATAGATAGATAGATAGATAGATAGATAGATAGATAGATAGATAGATAGATAGATAGATAGATTTTTTCAAAGCTCTGACAGCGGCGACAGCGGCCAGTTTAGTTTTTGATGTCTAGTATGGGTTCAGGTTGGGATTCTCACCTCTCTGAGCCGCTGCAGATGTTCCTCCAGTCTGCTCTGTCTGCCGTGAGCCTGAAGCCAGAGTTTCCTCCAGTCTTTCACCAGGCGACACATGATGGGGGTCTGAGGGTCCAGTTTCTCCAGAGGAACAGGGACAGATGGTGGAGGCTTTGCAGCTCCTCTTCTCTCTATACATGCAATATAATCCAGAGTTAAATTCAAGCCAACACATCAGCAGATCTCAGTGATTCTGGACTCACTCGCTGCTGGTCTGCGACTGGGTGAAACCTGCTGTTTGGGGACCAGCTTGTGTTTACAGGATTTAGTGGCATTTTCAACCTCCGGTACCTTGCCTTTCATCTCATCCATAAAATCCTGCAAAAAACCAACAGAAGCATTTCCTGACCTCAAACCTTCTTAAATTATTGCATGGCATCACCGTTACGTTTCATTTAAAAAGCTATTAGTTACTAGTTCATTAGTTGAAGTTATGAGTAACTAATAAAGTTATAATGACCAATAACCTTAACTTTTCAGAATTTGATTGTAATGCAACGATGTGAAGCTGCTTTGAAACAAGAATTATTGTGAAAGGCGCTATACAAATAAGCTGGAATTGAATTGTTTTTTGTTTAAATTTTGTAAAAGGTTTACAAATTTTTGTTTGTGTTTGTCATTTTAATCACATTTAGTTTATTTTTAACATACATTTATGTAGTTTTCATTCATTGTCATAGTTTCTTTATACAATTTGTTGCACATTTCAGATGAAAAAATCTACTAGAGGGCACTGTTTCCATTTTCGCAAATCTGAAATCCATTACTTAGGGTACGATTAAGGGGACATTTCGGACAAACGTCATTCTTGTATATGTCTAGAAGGCGGCGATGGTTGTCATATTTAGTTTGTTTACTACATTTATGTTTACAACATTTATTATATCCACTAGAGGGCGCTGTCTACAGTTATTCGAATCTGAAATACAAATTAGGGTATGTTTTATTGTACATTTTAGAAACGCGCCCTTCTTGTACACGTCCAGGAGAAAGCAGCGTTTGTTGTCCTATTTAGTTTATTTTTAGTACATATATGTAGTTTTTTATTAATTTTCAGTTATAGTTTTTATCTACTTTTTTTTGCACGTTTCAGGTGAAAAATCCACAAGAGGGCGCTGTTTCCTCTTTTGTGAAATTCGTTACTTATTGTACGGTTTGTAGTATATTTCAGACACACGTGCTTGTACACATCTAGAAGGCGGTGGTGGTTGTCATCATATTATTTTTTACATTTATTTAGTTATTTATTAAATTCAGTTATAGTTTCTAGGTATGTTTTGTTGCACGTTTCAGATGAAAAATCCACTAGAGGGCGCTGTCTACATTTTTGCGAATCTGAAATACATTCCTTAGGGTAATTTTATTTTTTGTACGTTTCAGACACATGTCCTTGTACACGTCCAGGAGAAGGTGCCAGTTGTGGTCATATTTATGTAGTTTGTCGTAAATTTTTTGTTCTAGTTTCCGTCATTTTAGTACATTAAGTTAAGCACAATACAATTATAAATGCTTCTTTGGAAACTTTATAAAACAATTAACAAAACATTAAAATTTAACATTTGACATTTTTTTTTGTTTTTAAGAAGCATATTAAAAGTTACTTTTGAATTTTTTTATTTACATTTTGAAACACAGATGTTCCTTCACTGATATTTTTTAAACATGGGTCAAACAGGATACAGAAATACAATGAATGAATGAACATATCATAATATTTGACAAAAATATATATTTTACCTGTTCCTTAGAAAACCACAATATCATAACTCTAATCTTGGACAGTATGACCGTGTCAACTAAAAGAAAGTAAATATATTAAGGGCACATTTTAAAGAAATTTTCCTTTGATTTTCCCTCGTTTTGTACTAAACTAAAACCAAAATATGCAGAAAAAAGAAAAAGAAAAATCCACTACATTTTGTGATAAAAATAAAATGATAATAAGCCTTTCAGAAAAGCAGAACATATCTATATATTTTTAATATTTTTTTATTTTATTATCATTATTATTTATTTTTCAAATAAATGTTTTTTTCTGCTTTTCTCAGAATTTAATTCAAGTTTATTTGTACAGTGCTTTTCACAACGGTTGTTGTTTCGAAAGTAGTTTTAAAAAAGGTGCACATTATTGTATCACAATCAGATAAGTTATTTGTGACCATAACTTTATTAGTTGCTAATTACTTAAATTAAATAGTAACTAATAGTTTTTAACAGTTAAAGTTATACATGAGCATAGTTAACCTGCAGCTATATAGTATATAGATAAGTTCAATGAAGTGCATGTGTGTTTTAAGTGTATACAACTATGCTGTAGCAAAAGCATAGTTCACCTAAAGAAAACTCATCTTCATGTTGTTCAAAACCTTGATTTCCTCAAGATTTTCTTCAATGAGTAAAAGAGGACAGTATTTTTTAATTTAGAATAATTGTATTGTTATTAATATTAAAGTTGTGTATGAGTACCATGTGTTGCGTGATGAGCTCTGCTGTGAGCTCCAGATCTTCAGGCAGTGACTCCTGCTCTTTCAGACTGAGAGAGTCTTCAGCGGCGCAGATCCAGTCCAGAATCCTCTGAATCTGCTCCCTCTCACCCTGTAGTGCCGCCAGTGAGATCTGGATCCTCTCGGCCTGCTGCTTCGCCCATGTCTGCACCTAAAAACCCACATACAACACATTTAACCAGCTCAGGCTTATTAGAAATACCTGCATCAGTGTAGACTTTTGCTAAATGTAAAATACATTGCTCAGGCTACATTTTGTTGTACATTTCAGATGAGAAATCCACTAGAGGGCGCTGTTTACATTATTGCGAATCTGAAATATGTTACTTAGGGTGTGTTTTGTTGTGCTTCTTCTACACATCCAGGAGAAGGCGAAGCTTGTCGTACAGATCAGCTAGCGAACCATGGAGCTAAACCCTTCACTAAACCCAACCAATAGTGTTTTCACAAGCAGACAAGAGAGGAATGTGCACTGCCACCTTGTAGTTTTATCTTGATTTTAAATAGCTTTTATCTATTTTTACCTTGATTTTACATTGCTTTAATCTAATTTGTTTTGTTTAATTTTGTATCTTGATTATAATTATAAACACCCTGCAGCGCTATTCGCATGAATGCGGCAGCACAAATGACGCATTTCGCAGGAATCAATCAAGTTGGAAAATCTGAACTTTAGCGGACATTCGCTCTGCGTTAACCAATCAGAAACTTGCTTTAGTATGAGCGTGATTATGACATAAAGCCTGTTATTGGGGGAGGGGGAAATCCTCCTGCCGACACCGACAACAGCTCATCAAACTGGGCTCGGCTCTGTCGGAAGCACTGCTGAAAGCTTCCATCATCCAGGTATAGTTTCTGAAGGAGTTGATGAACTCACAGAGTTGGGTGCACCTCTGAATGGATCTAGTGAATGAATCTATGGTGTTTTGCAGCCTTCCTAAAGCACAGCTACTCTCTCAATAAAATCCATGTTAGCCATTTAGCAACGAAACTAGAGTCACCGGGCAGACAGAAGCCCTGCCCATGATGCGAATCAGCGTCTTTTGTGAATTGAATTTCATGCACAAATGAAGCAAAGTTGATATGTGAATAAAGCGAGTAAACTCGAAATGTTCACGCGTCTATTCATGTGCGAATAGTGTGACTACTGCTGACTTATTAACCTAGTAATGCTCCTGTAACTCGACTGACCTCCTCGTAGCGAGTGTTGGTGATGCTGATCCATGATTTGATGGTGATGACGGAGTCCGGGTGGCAGCAGCGCAGGATCTCCTCACCCAGACTGCGGATGTTCTCCAGCGCCTCCTGCTGGGCGTTCAATGAACTCATCGACTCCTGTGGTTCACAAACATCATCACGAAAATCATCAAGGATCACAGATTCAGCTATAAATTTTTTTTAGTGTTCTACTGAAGACAAAAGTCATCTTTAACTGCCTGAGGGCTAAAAAAATTACAGCAAATGTTTATTTTAGGGTGAACTATCCCTTTAATGTCCAGCATACTTGATGACATGTGCGAAACGCCAGAAGAGCCTCTTCTTCCTCCGGCAGCACTCCGTACTTCAGGACCCGCTCCACATCCGACAGCTGATCCAGAAATGAGTGGACCACACCATCAAACTCCTCCGCCTGAAAATAACACAAATATGCTGAAATCATCAAATGTGTCTGATCCCACGTTCAATCACTATTTCAGTATCACTTTGAATACTTGGTCACACTGTTCAATGTTTTTAGTTCATAATATTTATAGTTTAACATTTATTGTCCTTGATAAGATTGGTTATTAAGTTATTTAATGTTTAATTAGCTTAACGGTTATATCACAGTGTTTTAAGTTTAAAGTTTTAAGTTTCGGAAGTCTCCCGGATGCTCGCAAACGAGTGATAATCTCACGGTAATCTGGCGTCTCTCTCCTTGCTCTTCAGACACGTCGCACGCACCTTGTCAAACACCACCAAACCACCACCTCCCCTGACAGCTGAGCAGGACTCTGCAAAATAAATCCTGACACTCTGACCAATATGAGGGGAGTTTACTCACACGCGACGTTTTAGCTCTTTTGGTCCGATTAGAAACTTTGCAGTTTGATCGTCACCTTAGAATTATAAGGTTCTATCTGACATTTTTGTCAAAATTGAGTTATTTACATATTCTTATTAAATGACAACTTATTTACATTATGGGATGTTTTTATAAGTTTTTTACATTTTAAGACTTTTTATTTAAAAACAAATGTTGCACACATACTGTTTGCTATACAGAATGCAAAAACTTTAAAGCTTAATATCTCAAAATCATTCAGAACGCAGATAGAACCTTATAATTCCAAGGTGACGAACTGTTAAAATATGGAATCTTACAGTTATGGACATTGTGTTTCAGTCAAGGACTCTTATTTTGTGTATTATCATTTTGTCTTTGTTTTATCTGTTGTCATAGCTACTGATTGACTTCTGTTATAACTGGTTATGCTCACCTGTGTCTTGTTTGGTTTGTGATTTATATATATATATATATATACAGCCTTCAGTTTCTTTCTCGTCTTTGCAAAAGCTGTTGCGTTTATACTAGTGCTGATGATTAATAGTGATTAATCGCATCCAAAATAAAAGACTGTTTTGTATCATATAATATATATTTGTTATGTGATACACACACATACATAGAAATTAAACAAATGTGTTACATAGATATTGAAATGCATGTATATTGTGTATCATATACATATATAGTTAATATATTAATATTAATAAAAAATGTCTCAAACATATGCATTCATGTGTGTATTTATATATAAATAATGAATATACACAACACACACACATGTAATGTCAAAACAAACTTTCATTTTGGATGAGTTGAATCGGTTTTAATTTTTGCCCAGCACTAATTATACTTACCTTGAATTATTCTCTTAGTTTAAATAAATACTATCTAAATCTAATAGCAGCAAATATATTCCACCATGCCATGCTCTGGCACTTGTATTATTGTGTTACCCCATTTACTTAATGAAATAATTAATACAAATTTCTGGTCACACTTTATTTTGATGGTCCGTTTGTTGAATTTAAGTGACATTACATCTACATGACAACTAATTGTCATTTGATTATAAGCAGACTGTTAGTTTGGAGTTAAGGTTAGTTTAAGTTGAAATGTACTAGCAAATTTCTTATAGTCAGTTAAATGTCTGTTGAAGGAGCAGATCAGCAGATATTAAGCAGACAGTTGACTAAGACTCAAATGGACCATCAAAATAGAGTGTTACCAAATTTCTCTTAGTTTTAATCCATGAAAACAACACTAATGTATTTTGAATGTGATGTCAGTGCTCTGGATAAATGTATCATCCAAATGCACAAATGTAAAAATAAAATGTTTGGTGCTGTACCTGCTGCAGTGCGGCCTCGAGTCGGGCCTGTCTAGACACAGAGAGTTTACACACAGCCTCCCAGCGGCTCTCCAGCTCCTCCATCTGCTCCTGCAGCCAGTGAGCATCGGCGGTGCTGCTGCGCGTCAGATCCCGCACCGAGCGCTTCAGTGTGCGGATACAACTGGCCCGCTTCCCAAGCTCCCGCTGGAACACCTGTAGACCCAGAGCCAAAAGATCAGGACTACAGCATACCCTATAACCTTACCATGAACGCTGGAGAGGGTCCATCCGTTCATCCGTCCATCCATCCATCCATCCATCCATCCATTCATCCATCCATTTATCTATCTATCTAGCTAGAAGAAATGAGTGAAATATCTAATATAAGCAACCAGAGTAACCCAATTTCGCTCCTGAGTTTTGTTGTGACATCTTCTGACCCTAGAGGAATCACAGTAAGAGCTGAGTGATATGACACTATGCATTAAAGTGCATTAGATTAAGCACGTCTACATGTATTTGTTAAAGTATTCCAAGCATACATGGCTAATTTTACATTAACTGATTATTGGGGGTCTAGATCCCCTCAGTGTCTTTTGTGGTGCATGGAGGAATATCAGCTGAGGCCCACCTTGTGTTTGTCGATGAGGTTGTTGACCAGGTCTTTCTCTCCGCAGACGGGCACGTCTTCAGCCAGCTGTGGCTCAGCTCTGAACAGCCAATCGCTGAGAGCCTGCAGAGCGTCAGTGAATCTGCCTGAAAACAGCAGCGCCTCCTCCAACTTGTGTTGTCTGTGGAAGGAAAGGTAAAAAATGACATTTTAACAAAGCACTGTCGCCTCACAGCAAGAAGATTGCGGGTACGACCCAGGTCAGCTGGCATTTCTGTGTGCAGTTTAGATGTTCTTTGCATGTAGCATTTTGTTTTTTATCACAGCTCTGCCAGTGAGAGCGGTCAAACTCAAGCACATCAAATGAAAAAGACATGAAGGGGTGGGGATTGTCAGACACTTGAAAGCATTTGATTGGTCAGAAATTTTGATGAGAAAGAAGTATGAGATGAAAAAAAGCATTGATCATTTAGGCAGATGTTTTTGGTTGTTTATATCAGGTTTATGATCTTCTAAATGCTAATTTTGTCACTATTTTGGAGCACACTAGCTTGTAGATATCCTTAAGACTAACTGATGCAAACATCGAAAAAGAAAACTTTAAATGGGATTGAAAAGTTAATGGTACTAGATATAAGAGTAATGTCTAGTTCAGACTGCGTGATTTTAGCCCCGATTTTGGCTCGCCAACAGGTTTTGAGAAATCGCCGACAAATGCCTGAAATCACAGGCAAATCGCTGCTTGTGCACGTGAGTGACAATCACACAGTATGAACTTTCAAAGACTCGATCTGAGAGAATCGCCAATGAGTCGCCGATGCCTGTGAGATATTTGGCGCGCTAAATATCTGGAGCTGTCGGCGATTCAAATCATGCCGTGTGAAATGAGTTTTGACTGAAAATAACATCAGCGATCGCCTACAGCCAATGAGAGAGCAGCTTTCACTTGTGTGTGCGTGTGTGTATACCTGCTGCAGGCCAGCGGGAGGCTGGGGGGGAAGTTAAAAGCGCTCGTTTTCGGTTTATTTGGACCCACGAAATGGAGGTAAAACTAGTTGAGGTTTGACAGGACTCAGGAGCAACCGTGTCTGTTTGACGTTTCATACAGAAAGAAATTAGTTTATTATCAACGTCGAGGAGAAATGGCTAATTCTTTAAACCCAGGTGAGCAAACATGTACATGTTCTACCCCATTAAAGGCTTCTTTCTCATTATGTAGTTAATAACAAAAGAAATATGACGTGTTTTTGGCTGTGAGACGTAGTGTGGACGAAGTTGTCGGCGATTCTTCCTGTAGTAAAGTCATGCAATATGAATGTCCCGGTCGCCGATCCATCTTGCAGTGTAAACAAAGCGGCGACGAAACGCTAGCCCAGATAGTCACGCAGTGTGAAAACATCTGTGACACGACTACTTTAAAAATCATGCAGTCTGAACTCGGCATAACTAGATAATTGTACTAGATATAAGATTAGTCTAATTGATATGAATTTTACTCGTGCAAATTGATAGGAGGATTTTATCAGTTAGGAGCTATTTTTGAGTGTACATTTGGATCGCAAAACCTCCGTCAGACAAACCTCTCGCTGGATTTTCCGCTGATGGTGTCCCATGAGTCTCTGAGCTCCGACACCATGTTCTCCAGCTGCTGCGTGTCTGCAGGGCTCTGGGCTTTCTCCTGGAGCGAGCGGCCGCTCTTCAGACATGCTTCATACATGGGCCGCTTCGAGCGCAGGAGCTTCTGGAAGTCCTGTAAATACACAAATGACCCACTGTGAAGAACTTACTAAAGTCTGACAAGAAATTGTTGAAAACACACCTCTTTGAATGCTTATCATGAATATGATGATTTGAATCATCATGAATAACAAAATTTTATTTGTTTATGGCGAGGCAGTGGCGCAGTAGGTAGTGCTGTCGCCTCACAGCAAGAAGGTCGCTGGGTCGAACCTCGGCTCAGTTTGTTTTCTGTGTGGAGTTTGCATGTTCTCCCTGCCTTTGCGTGGGTTTCCTCAGGGTGCTCCGGTTTCCTCCATAGTCCAAAGACATGTGGTACAGGTGAATTGGGTAAGCTAAATTGTCTGTAGTGTGTGAATGTGTGTGTGAATGTTCCCAGAGATGGGTTGCGGCTGAAAGGCATCCGCTGCGTAAAAACTTGACGGATAAGTTGGCGGTTTACTCCGCTGTGGCGACCCCGGATCAGTAAAGGGACTAAGCCGACAAGAAAATGAATGAATGAATGAAGGTTTATTTAATATATGTTGTTTTTATATTTTATCATATCTTGTATTTTTATAGTCCTCTTTTACATTCTTGTGGCACTTTTGGTCTGAGAAAAGTGGCTTATGAATAAAAAAATAATTGCTATTACTATTTTTTTGTTAAAACACCACATATATTTTGTGGTTTAATTATTATTATTAAAGTTTTTACATAATCTTCTGTGCACCACATGCTAAAAAAGGAACATTTATAACATTTTAAAATATATATATATTTGGGTTTAGATATTGAGTTGAATTAGGGATGTAGAACCTTCTGTTCAGTGAGCTGCTGTTTGATCTCCTCCTGTGAAACAGCGATCTCTTTATGTGTGTCCAGTGTCTGTTCCACCTCCGTCATCCAGTCCACCAGTAAGTGCCACGATTCACTGAACTGTGCAAAAGTCAAAAGCAGAACAGCTGATTTATTTTCCAGGAGACTGAGGACAGAGGGCTTTCTGTGCAGATGAGAAGAGAAGCGAGTACCTGTTTAGCGAGTCTCTTTGCGTCCTCCAGAGTTTTCCCTCTCTCTGTGGTGTGCTGCAGGAGTTTTTTGAATCGGTCCTGAATGGTCATGATCAGGTTCTGTATGACATCACAGTCCTCTTTCCTGCTGAGCTCAGACAGACGTGTGGCTGCAGCTTCCACACTCGACTTCCTGTCTCCGTAAGACTGAACCTCACTGACCAGCACCTGCAAACAACACCAGATAATCACTCACACACACATACACACACGGTCGCAGACGCATACACACACCCACACAGACTCCCAGATGCATATAAACAAACACACAGTCACCCACACATACACATATATGCATAAACACACACATACAGACACACACACACACACAGACACACACACACACACACGCACACACACACACACACACACACACACACACATACATACAATCACACACAATACCTGCAGCACATGCACACACATAAACAGACACAAACACACACAGTTGTGCACAAACATACACACATATGCACTCACATACACAAATACACACACACACAAATAGACAAACAATATCACGCACACACTGACACGCACACAATCATGTACACATAGTCGCAAATTCTCTCCTACACACACACACACACACATACACACACACACACACATACAATCAAACACCACAATACCTGCAGCACATGCACACACATACACAGACACAAACACACACAGTTGTGCACAAACATACACACATATGCAAAAACACACACACACACTCTCGCACTCACATACACAAATACACACACACTCTTAGACAAACAATACCACGCACACACTGACACGCACACAATCATGTACACACAGTCGCAAATTCTCTCTCACACACACACACACACACACACACACACACACACACACACACACACACACACACACACACACACACACACACACACACACACAAACACACACACACACAAACACACACACACACACACACATACATACATACACACATACACGTGGAGGGGCCTTCTGTAACCTGCGGTACTCTACACACCTTGCATATTCCATGTATAAGGGGATCAGTACTGCATTTACACACACACACACACACACACACACACCCTACCCTGTGCTCCTGCAGCTGTGAACAGATGGTGTCCAGGATGAAGCTGGGAGCGCTCAGTGTGTTTATTGTTTCCTCACACTTGCCCATTTTAGTCAGCAGGTCCTGGACGTTACTGTTGAACTCCTTCGCAAGGCCAAGACCCTCAGTTAACTTTGCCTAAAACAATCAATAAATCCATAAATAATTTTAAAAACGTATTTAATGGTATCAGTTATTGCTGATATGCTGACAGCTTTAAAACAATCAAATATTGGCCAATAAATATCAAATTAAACTAAAATAAAATAAAACTAACAAACAAAAAACTAGTGTAGAAAATCTGAAAAAGTAAAAATGTTTTTAAGTTAATACTAATATATTCACATTCTTAAGTAAAGTCAACTAATCACTTAACCAGTTAAACTCTGCTGCTATTTTGGGATTTCCGCCTGGATTTTGCCTACCCAAATTTAAAAGCTTACCAAATCCACATGCTGACGTGTAAATGCAAAAGTTTGGTATCATTTTAAAGAAAACCCTTTGAATTTTCATAAAACACTATTGAAAGTATTTAAAATAACGGTATATGTTGTCTGTGTTATAATAAACACCTAAAAAAAGAGGCGCTTCTTGTATTTTTGTTTTATAAACTCAAATTTGAAAGTGTACCTTTTAGGTACTGTGTGGTCTAGCTTACTTATGCACATCACCTCAAAAACAGAGGAGAATGGCCCTGAAGGGCACAGCATACGGGAGAGATGACAGCTGTCTGGGGCTGCTTATTGATTATGAATGTATTGATTACATTTCTGCGCCATGGAAACACTGTGATTCATTCAACAACTGTTTGTTATGTGAATATAATTCAGTAAAAAGAATGCTAGAACCGTATGAGCTTGTACTTGTACATGTACTTGTACATGTGTCATATGAAAAAATATGAAAATGAACCAATGTAAAATACCTAGCTCGGGTATCCAAAATACTGTGTATTTAAGTGTAAATAACTTTTGTACAGTATAATAAAAAGCAAAGTTATGCATATGTGCATAAAATATAGATTCTACACTTTCAAACAAAACCACTTACGGGGGTCTGGTGCGATGCTAGCCCTTTAAATCTGAAAGCGAAAGTCGATGACGTCACAGACCCGGTACCGGGTCCGCAGAGTTTAAGTGGTTTTAAGCACTTTAAAAGCAACAGGTTTACTTACTTTAGTAGTCAACTAATCGCTTTAAAAGCAACAGGTTTACTCATTTTTGTAGTCAACTAATCGCTTTAAAAGCAACAGGTTTACTCATTTTTTATATTAAAGTCAACTAATCGCTTTACAAGCAACAGGTTTACTCGCTTTAGTAGTCAACTAATCGCTTTGAAAGCAACAGGTTTACTAATTTTTTTATTAAAGTCAACTAATCGCTTGAAAAGCAACAGGTTTACTCACTTTTGTAAAGTAAAGTCAACTAATCGCTTTAAAAGCAACAGGTTTACTCATTTTAGTAGTCAACTAATCGCTTGAAAAGCAACAGGTTTACTCACTTCTGTAAAGTCAACTAATCGCTTTAAAAGCAACAGGTTTACTCGCTTTAGTAAAGTCAACTAATCGCTTTAAAAGCAACAGGTTTACTCACTTCTGTAAAGTCAACTAATCGCTTTAAAAGCAACAGGTTTACTCACTTCTGTAAAGTCAACTAATCGCTTTAAAAGCAACAGGTTTACTCACTTCTGTAAAGTCAACTAATCGCTTTAAAAGCAACAGGTTTACTCACTTTAGTAAAGTCAACTAATCGCTTTAAAAGCAACAGGTTTACTCACTTCAGTAAAGTCAACTAATCGCTTTAAAAGCAACAGGTTTACTCACTTCTGTAAAGTCAACTAATCGCTTTAAAAGCAACAGGTTTACTCACTTTAGTAAAGTCAACTAATCGCTTTAAAAGCAACAGGTTTACTCACATTTTAAAAGCAAAGTCAACTAATCGCCGTTTATTCATGCACAATAATCTCTCATCACCTTTCGCTCCTGCATTTTAGCGTAGACGGCACTCCACTTCTGCTCCAGGATGCATAAGCTGTGCTCAGTGCTGGAGCCGCGGGCCACTTCACTGGCCTCCAGCATCCTGTGGATGGCGGAGCGAACGTTTGTGTAGGCGTGCATTTTCGAGTCCATCTCATTACACAGCTCCTGCAGCACAAACACACAGACTTCAGTCCAGGAGCACGTTTCACAAACACAAGAGTCCGAAACCTTGATCCTCACCAGGTGAGCATTTAGTCTCTCGCTTGAAGAATCCGGCATCCCCCATACCGCCTTACTGGAGGACAGCCTGAGGTCTGTGTGCTCCAGCCACTGCAGAAGATCCTGGATCTCCATGCTCACGTCCTGAACCTGAAATACAGCCAGAAAGGCAGAGTTTCACTGCAATTCTACAGCAACTCTGTGAGATCATAGGATAGTATAGTTATATTTGAATCACTTTTAGCCAAACGTTAAATTCCTTGACTTTTCTTTGACTCTTACTGAATAAAAAAACGCCTTCTGATTCTGGTTCTCGGGATATAGCGGCTTTTGCTGTCAAAGGCAAGTGGCGTTTATCGGCTTTTGCCAACAAACTGTTATTTCTGAATGCACTGATGCTGCGATTTGGATGATTAGAAGCAAATCAATTTGTTGATGGTGTACTATGTGCCTAAAGCATTCGCTTTATGTTATTAACTCCTTTTGGGCGGAAGTGGCGTTTAGCGCCTTTTGCATCTGAACTCTTCAATTTTTTGAAAACTTGATTTTTTGTTTTCTGAAATAATGTTAATAATCATTCAAAAATTGCAGTAATTTTTGTTGCGTCTATACTATGCAAATAGAACAATGTTTTACTTAATAATTATGGCACTTTAAAAACTTTATTTTGTGGAAAATATAGTGATTATCTTTGATTAAAGAACAACTATTGTAGGACAAGAAACAGAAAGTGTAGAAGCATTTTTTATTAATTTTCAAATCTTTTTATATATAATAAAAAAAAATTATATATATATATATATATATATATATATATATATATATATACGTGATATAGAATATAAGTACAGGTGAGATCAAAATTATTTGCCCCCCTGTATATTTTCCCCCAATGTTTAACAGAGATTTTTCTAAACATAATAGTTTTAATAACTAATTTCTAATAATTTCTTATTTATTTATCTTTGCCCTGATGACAGTACATGACATTTGACTACATATTTTTCAAGATACAATTATCCAGCTTAAAGTGACATTTAAAGGTTTAATTAGGTTAATTGGACAAGTTAGGGTAATTAGGCAAGTCAATGATGTATATTGATAGTTTGTTCTGTAGACAATCAAAATCAAATATTGCTTAAGGGAGCTAATAATATTGACCTTAAAACAGATTTTAAAATATTAAAACTGCTTTTATTCTAGCCGAAATAAAACAAATAAGACTTTCTCCAGAAGAAAAAAAATTATAGGAAACACTATGAAAAATTCCTTGCTCTGTTAAACATCATTTAAGAAATATCTGAAAAACAAATCACAAGTGGGCTAATAATTCTGACTTCAACTGTATGTATGTTATATTTCTTAAAAACGGTTGTTTTTTCCGCTGCTGTTAAAATAACTTCTAATAGGACTAAGTGGTCATATTGAGATTGTCCAAATTGCATGCTGTTCTCTAACTGAGATATCCGCATTTTGAGGCTGATTTCCGTGCTCACCTGACTGAGGTTGTTTTCCAGCTCGAGCTGCCTGCGCTCGGTTTCACAGCGCACAAATTCCCAGCGTTCATTCAGCTGCTCCAGACGAGTCTGCAGGACATGTGAAGTATCTCCCGCTCCAGACTCCATCAGACTCCTGCCGGCCCGGTTCAGAGAGTCTACCGTGTGCACATGAGACATCACGTCATTCCTCAGTACCTAAAAACACACAGCAACCGTCATTCAACTGCCAATACTATGGGCATCTTTGAAATGCTATATTACTGTTTTTGATATTTCATCTGAGAAATATTGCTAGGTTATGAAGCATACTATGAGAAAAGCTAGTTCATGCTTGTATGACTTCTAGACTGGATTACTGTGATGCTCTATCTGTTATAGTGATTACCAAAACAAGAAAATTTGACCATATCACCCCAATTTTATCCTCCTTACACTGGCTGCCTCTTAAGCTCCGTATTGATTATAAAATTTTGCTTCTTACCTATAAAGCTTTTGTTAGAAATACAAATATGCTTTACATGTTTGTTGCTTTGTTTGTTTATATGTCTCTTATTTTCATTTATAGCACTTCAATTTCACATTGACATTTAATATCTCTTGTTCAAATACATAAACAGCAGCTATGCTAATTATTTTCTTTGTTCTTTATTGGACCTTAAGCACAACACATAGGAAGAGATGACTGACGCAAGCCATCGAGGACTTCCAGGACAATACATACACTTAATACACTTCAGACACTTCATTAAGCATGAACATAGACATCACCTATATGCTATATAATTGCATGTTAACGATGAGGGCTAATAGATCTGACTTCAACTGTGTGATTAAAAGCATGTGTTACCTTGTGTTTGGCTAGCTCTATTTCACAGGTCTGCAGGTCGATGCTGATTGGCTGCGAGGCCTGCAGCAGGTCAGCGGTGTGCAAGAGCCAGGCGTGCAGCTCATCCAGGGTGTTCTGGAACTGACCCAAACCCAGCAACGCACACTCTAGCTGGTGCTGCTCAGAAACACACACACACACTGCGCTCTTCATATACTGCTATAATCAAACAACATGTTAATTCAGTTAGCTGAGATCTTACCTGTTTACTGACAGTCTCTGACTCCAGGCTGTCCCATCTCTGCCTGAAGTCACACAGCGGAGAAACGGACCCCGGCCGCTCCGTGCCCGGAGAAAGACGACACACGAAGCGATGGTTTAAACTCTCGATCTCGATCTTCTTCTGATAGAGTTCTCGCTTAAATTCCTTACAGGGGGAGAAGATCGTCTTTAAATCTGTCATTCGTTTGTGACAATTTAGCTTTTTTTCAAGGAACGGTTAAATGATTAGCGCTGCTGTGAATTTTTTTAGTCTTATTCAAATATTTCCCAAGTGATGAAAAAACATCTATTTTTTTATTTTTGTAAAATTTCAGAAATAATTGAATACACCATGAATTAAACCTTGTACAACATACTTGAATAATCCTTAACAATATCAAAGATAAAACTTTAGCACTTATAAAAAATGCTTGGCACTCCTGTCTTTGGGAATTTCTGCCCATTCCTCTTTGCAGTACCTCTCAAGCTCTATCAGGTTGAATGGGAAGCGACGGTGCACAGCCATTTTCAGATCTCTCCAGAAATATTCAATAAGATTTAGGTCTGGGCTCTGGCTGGGCCACTAAAGGACATTCACCGAGTTGTTGTGAAGCCACTCCATTGATATTTTGGGGGTGTGCTTTGGGTCATTGTCCTGTTGGAACCGTCGCCCAAGTCTGAGGTCAAGAGCACTCTGAAGCAGGTTTTCATTCAGGATGGTTCTGTACATTGCTGCATTCATCTTTCCCTCTATCCTAACTAGTCTTCCAGTTCCTGCTGCTGAAACACATCCCCACAGCATAATGCTGCCATCTGCATGCTTCACTGGATGGTATTAGCCTGGTGATGAGCGCTGCCTGGTTTTCTCCAAACGTAATGCCTGGCATTCACTCCAAAGAGTTCAATTTTAGTCTCATCAGACCAGAAAATTTGGGTTCTTATGGTCTGAGGGTCCTTCAGATGCCTTTTGGCAAATTCCAGGCGTGAATTGGCTCCTGTTTGACCACTCTACCAGACAGGCCTGATTGGTGGATTGCTGCACAGATGGTTGTCTTTCTGTAAGGTTCTCCTCTCTGCACAGAAAAACACTGGAGCTCAGACAGAGTGACGATCGGGTTATTGATCACCTCCCTGACTAAGGCCCTTCTTCCCCAATCACTCAGCTTAGATGGTCGACCAGCTCTAAGAAGAGTCCTGGTGGTTCCAAACATCTTTTGGATGATGGAGGCCGCTGTGCTCATTGGAACTTTCAGAGCAGCAGAAATTTTTCTGTAACCTTCCCTAGCCTTGTAGCTCGAGACAATCCCGGTCTACAGACAATTCCTTTGTCTTCATGCTTGGTTTGTGCTTTGACATGCACTGTCAACCGTGGGACCTTATATAGATAGGTGTATGCCTCTTCAAATCATGTCCAATCAACTGAATTTACCACAGGTGAACTCCAATGAAGCTCCAGAAACATCTCAAGAAGGATCAGTGGAAACAGAATGTACCTGAGCTTACATCTGTACATGTGAATTTTCAGAATTTTTTTTTTTTTTAAATTTGCAACAATTAAAAAAAAAAAAAAAAAAAAAAAAGTGAAGCGCTATGTATACTTTCGGGATGCACAACACACACACACACACATATATATATATATATATATATATATATATATATATATATATAAATCGGCTACAGAACAAACCCCTGTCGTCCAATGACTTGCCTAATAAAGTGCGTAGTTAACCTAATTAAGATTGTTATTCAACTTTTAGCTGAATACTAGTGTCTTGCAAAGCATCTAGTAAAATATTATGTACTGTCGTCATGACAAAGACAACAGAATTTAACTATTAGTTATTTTAAATTTGCTCTTAAAACTTTTAATTTTAAAAATGTGTTAGAAAAATTCTCACTTGGGAAATATAAATTTTTATAAATAATTTCTCTGTACATTGTACATTGTCTCACCTTTAGGTCACACAGCTGCTCTTTAACTGATCCCAGGTCAGATCCCACTGAAAACTCCTCTGTGGATTTCAACTCAGCAGACTTCAGCCACTGGAAGAGTCCCTAGCAAGAGAATATCACTCATTCATTCATTTTCTTTACTATTTAATACTGTTCTCTTGACTACCCAGTTAAAAAATCTTTAAAAATACTCAAATAAAAGCTATAAATACACTAGAAATCCATTAAGTTAAATAAATGTATAAATTAGTGCATAAGTGCACTTTGAAAAGTATATTAAATAGCTCTAATATTAAATATCTCTAATATATTCTAATACTTTTAGTACATTGCACTGAATTGTAAGTTGCTCCAAAAAATACACTTATCATAAGATTAAATTAACTGATTTTATTTAAAATATATGTCATTTAAGAGTTACAGGTATGTTTTCCTAAATGCGCTACTTAAGTACACTTAATATAAATACACTAATTTGCACAATTAACTTTTAATATTTTAATTACAAAATTAGTTGCAAAATTAAAATAGAACACTTTAAATAGAACACTCAAAAATAGAACACTTTATGTAAACTATAGAAGTGTACTAAATAGTGTATTATAGTGCACTTGTTTTTTCATCCGCACTGCCCTATAATAGTCTTTTTTTCTCATGCACAACCACCAAAAAAAATCACTGAAACTTTCATCCAAATGACCAGTGGCATGCTTTGGCCTCTCTCAAAGGAGAATCCAAAGCCCTGCCAACTGGTGGGAAATTGGCCAATACAACCACAAGGAGACACGAATACTGGAACACTACAACTGTAGACAGAGACCTACCACCACCGGAAAAGAAAAAATGGTGTTGAGCAGACCATTCTTTGTGACTATTAGTGCATCCCAGTTCGCTTGCTTAGTGTGTACCAAGAGTATTCATGCTTTGGGACGTACTACTTCTCTATTAAGGGACCATCTAGTTACGTGCTCTGTCAATCTTGTCACACTATTTATTTTATCATTAATATCCTACTATCACAGAACTTTTATGCAGAGAAATCTCCTCAGGTGTTTGCAAAATGAGGCATTCAGTTAACAAACACAACACATCTTAAGAAAGGTTCACAATACTCTTGCAGATGAAGTATAACATGGAAAACATAAAAACAATGTATATTTTCCATTGGGTTAGAAATCAACTAACAGTCCTTACATATTTACCTAAGCTTTTCCCCTTAAACATTAGTTTGTTTAACCATGTTTGTCGTTTGTTAACACTTAATACCCCTGTCTGTAGTTCTAATCGAATTAATGCCCAATGCGCAATGTGTTTTGGACAATATTAGATCTGGGAAACTTTAAAGAGGTGATAAACTACTGCAGTTTTAATATGAAACAGCTCTCTGATGTCCACATATAATGCTATCCAAATAAAAACATAAAAACATTTTGATTTAGTAATAAATGACTACTTTTTGTGCTTTTTTTGAACCTCATCATCAGAATGCTGTTTGAATGGGTGTTGCCTGTTGTAGACTCACAAGTAAACGCCCACTGCTCTGATTGGCGGACAGTTTTGCTTATTAACATGACCAAACAGATAGTGAAGTGGAAGAGGGTGTTGATGTGCTGAGGAGGCGGAGCCTATCCACCCTATTTCATCATAGAGTAAAACATTCTAAAACCTTTCATATTGTCAGGCTGGCTTCAATATAAGCTGGTTCTAGAGGAACCACAAAGTTTTGAGTTTTAAAATTAACTGAATGTTTTTGTAGTACTACAAGCTTACATATTTCAAAAGATCTCGAAAATTTTTATTTCCTATTTCAGGACCCCTTTAAATATATATTTTTTAACATACTAACATTAGGGACACACAAATTCGATATTTGAATACAGTTTAGGATAAATAGCATGCAAATTAGGATGAAGCACAAGTTATCATATTCATTAAAAATGGGCTGATAGGAATGGAGAGCATGGCTAACTCACCTGCATGCTGTCCTGATAATGAAGGGCCATTCGTAAACATTCTTCTAGTTTACTGTTGCACTCTGTCCAAATCTTACTGAGATTGTTCCATGTGCCATAAAGCTGTGGAGAAAAACACAAACTAATGGGACCTGAAATTTTAACAATAAGCTGTATATTTAAAAGCAATTTCAGAGTATCTATAACTGTAATTCACTAAAAGAAATGATTCGTTGGATTTTCTGAGGTAAGGGGTTCATTCATTCATTTATTCATTATTATTTGCACTCTTCCGGGGGCCAAGTCACAGGGGCAGCAGTCTTAGGAGAGAACCTCAGACTTCCCTCTCTCCAGACACTTCCTCCAGCTCCTCCGGGGGGAACCCGAGGCGTTCCCAGGCCAGCCGAGAGACATTTCCTGAGGCCTCTTTCCAGTGGGGCATGCCTGAAACACCTCCCTAGGTAGGCGTTCAGTGGGAATCCAAAATAGATGCCCGAGCCACCTAAACTGACTTCTCTCAATGTGGAGGAGCAGCCACTCTACTACAGGCTCCTCCAGGGTAGCTAAGCTCCTCATGCTATCTATAAGGTCGCGCACTGTCACCCTGCAAAAGAAACTCATTTTGGCCACTTGTATCCGAGATCTTGACCTTTCGGTCATGACTCAGAGCTCATGACCATAGGTGAGAGTAGAAACGTATTGACCAGTAAATCGAGAGCTTTGTCTTTCAGCTCAGCTCCTTCTTTACAACAAACTGGTAAATCAACCGCATGACTGCTTCTACCGCACCAATCTGCCTGTCAATCTCACGTTCCATCCTGCCCTCACTCGTAAACAACTCCTCCATGAACCGCCACCTTATCGTGATCGAGGGGTTTGAGTGCCTGAGTGATTCTAAGATAGATCTTCTATGTTGTCTGGGGCTAATGCCCCTGGTAGGGTCTCCCAAGTCAAAATGGTCTTAGGTGACAGGTCAGACTAAGTGTGGTTAAAAAAACCCTTATGAGTAAAATAATTTCGAGGATCGTGACATCACACGGTATGGCGTAGCTGGGGCCCCACCCTGGAGCCAGGCCTGGGATTGGGGCTTGTATGCGAGCACCTGGTGGCCGAGTTTTTTTCCATGGAACCCGACCAGGATAGCCTGAAGGAGCAAGGTGGCACCATACTCCTGCAGGCCCACTACCTGAAGCGGGAGCCATAAGGGGCTGGTGCATTGCGGAATGGGTGGTGGTCGAAGGTTAGGACCATGACAACCGGATCATCAGGCACAGAAACTGGCTCTTGGGACAAGGTAAGTGGTTGCAATCAATTTATATGGGTTGAATTTAAACAAACAATTTAAATTTAGTAATTGCGACCACTTACAGTAAAAAAAAATAGTAAATCCAATGAACCATTTTTATCAGTGTTGTAGCTTCAAACACAAACCTCATCCAAACACTTGGTGACCTCTGGTTTGTCAGTGTCACCACAAGCTGACATAAGTTCCATTCCCAGAATTCCCAGTGTTTCCAGGTCACCTTGTAGAGAATCAATGTCCTCCCTGAGTGTCTGAGGAAATAAAATAGGGGGAGAAAAGGCCAATGAGGAAACATCCTTAAAAGGGATAGTTCACACTTGTTAATTCCTCACCCTCATGTCATTCCAAACCCCTGAGACCTTGATTCCTCTTCAGAACACAAGTGAAGATATTTTAGATGAGATCTGAGAGCTCCCTCATCCTCCATAGATAGCAAGTGTTACAAAATATACAGAAAAGGAACCAAAAGCATTTTCAAAACATTGCATGTTACTTTAGTGGTTCAACTGTAGTTATAAGAAGCTTCAAGAACACTTGAAAAAAGTCACCACTGCCAATGTCTTCCATATCAAATCAGGATGCAGTTTTACTACGGGAAATATGGCACTTGTGTGTTGGGCTGCTGACTATAATGGCAAAACACAACCCAGACTCATTACGGATATGTACCCGAGTCTACATTTCTGGGATCAGAGAAATATGTAACTGCAGGTACATCTCCTTGCAGTTTTTGTCTTTGCAAATCAACCAGAGGCCGCTGTGTATGCTTTTTAATGATCTCAAATTTCTCTTGCGACTTTCTTCTCACATAAATCCACCAGAGGGCGCAATATACACTTCCGCTACCAAGGCCAGCTTGCTGTTGACTTAATGACTGACCGACTGACCCACCCACCCCCGTCCATAACACAAACGATAGTGTTTTCAAAAGCAATCTAGAAAAAAAAAAGTTGTTGTAGCCACGTGATTTCACCATGTTTTCAGTCTGTTGTTTATTTTCTTTCTTTTCATTTTTTTGCTTTTAGTTTTTCCTGGTTTCATGAACCGTTTTTTTGCCATACTCGAACCCCTGTCGTCGCGGTCAACTCCGCTCTGCATCCCAAGTCCATCGGCTTACATGGCAAGCTACTGGGCAAACTGGTAACACCAGAAAAGCGTCCACATGAAGGTAAGCGGTCAGTAGTATCCCAAAAAAGCACAGAATGGCCTTCAGTGGAGTCATACCGCCCAGCAGCATTCGTTTTACAGACGAAAAAGTGGCCAGACGTACCTCTGGCAAAAAAAATTTTGCACTCTCCAGAAATCTAGACAAGGGTACGCATCCATAATGAGCCTGTGTTGGTAATACGTCAGACAGCCCATAGTTAAAGCACAACCCAAGGACCTGATGAGGAAGAAAAGAAATAGGCAAACAAATTTGTCTTTACAGTTGGTCTTTGGTGCACAAAAGTGTTCTTGGAGCTTCGTATGATCACAGTTGAATCGCTAAAGTCAGATTATAATGTTTTAACAATTCTTTGAATTTCTTTTCCAGACTTTGAGCATCTAGGGACCCTTGCTTTCTGTGGAGGATAAGGGAGCTCTCAGGTTTCATCTAAAATATTTTCATTTGTGTTCTGAAAATGATCTCAGGGGGTTGGAAGGACATGATGGTGAGTCATTAATAAAAGAACTTTCATTTTTGGGTGAACTAACCCTTAAAATACCTTATGAAAGCTAGTCATCAAAACTGAATGTATTACAACCTCAAATCAGAAAAAGTTGGGACAACTCAAAAAAAAAAAAAAAAAATAGAAAGTAGTGTTTTATAAATTCTAAAAGGCCTGCCTGCAGTCCCAACCTGTCTCCAATAGAGAATGTGTGGCACGATTTGAAATGCAAAAAGCAACAACGGACACCCCATACATTTGCCCACCTTAAGACTTGTTTGCAGGAAGAATGAGACAAAGTTACAGCTAAAACATTTCATTAATTGGTGTCTTCGGTCTCTAAACATCTTTAAGTGTTGTGAAAAGGAATGGCAACATTACAAATTAGTAAATGCTCTACTGTTCCAACTTTTTTAAAATGTGTTTAAAGAACCAAAATTGGTTTGCATGTTTATTTTGAAAAAAAAAAAAAAAAAAACAATGAAAAAAATGATGAACAAACTTAAATAATGTTTGTTGTATAGTCTGCAACGAAACACAAGTCAAAGTAAATTTAGAAATCACCCTTTTCTTTATTGATTTGCTTTGTCCATACTGTCCCAATCTTTTTGGATTTGAGGTTGTAGACTACACTGGTCAGCCAACTTAAGTTTTTTTGCCCTCAAAACCCACTAAATTATCTTGAATCAAATTGAACCAGCATGGTAAAACAGTGACAACATTATCATCTTTTTATTCTCTACCTGCATGGTCTCCAAGCTCTGCCGAATGGTTTCTGAATCTGATCGATTGGAGTTGAGGTCCAGAACGGCTTGTTGAGCGTCATTCAGACCAGCTGTGACGTCGCTCACGTCGTTCCAGAATCTCACTGCCAGATCTAGCAGATTGAGCAGCCACTTCTCCCTCTCCCGAGCCTGTTTTTGAGCCTCCTCCCAGCGGCTTGTAAGACAGCAGACTCGCTCTTGAATAGCTGGAATTGGAAGATGATTACTGTTACGATCACCAGCGATCTAGGCTTTGCAGTTAGTTGGAAAAAATTTATCATTTATTCAACCACACATCTGCCACTGAACTGAACCACATTTCTCATCATGCACCTCACACACACACCAGTTCCAGATGACCCCTGATCACTCACTCACATGTGATGCTTGTGAAGACTAATTACCTGGACTATAAACACAGCACACACACATTTCTTGGCTGAATCTTGTTTTCTGTAAGTGAGCATTATATAAGCGTTTTCTTGGATTGGCTACCGTGTTTTGACTCTTGTTTGTTTCATTGTTTCTGTTTGTTTTGTCGCCTGCCTCGACCATATCGACCATTCTCTGGATTACCTACAGTATGCTTCTGTCTGTCCCTGTTTCAACCTTGCCTGCCTGACATTTCTAAATAAAGCTACATTTGGATCTTCACCCCTGTAACCACCAAACTCATTATCACAATCATTGATAGACCATACTTTGTAAATAGTGTGTATTAAATGGTCGATAAATTGATAAAAAAGCATGTGACTTGCTCCAAGTGAAGTCACTTCCTCAGGAGGGAAACTCTGGAAGGATTAAGGCATGTCATTATTTTTCTCACATTAATATGTGCAAAATGTTTAGGATACACCAATAGTCGATTGATTACGTGTCAACTTTGATATTGTAATATTTGTAATTCATTTTTTAAATACAAAACTATGATAAAAGTACCTAAAACTGTGTTTTAAAATGCCATGTGGTGTCTGGTTTGAGGCTAACATCTTGGGCTAAAGCACATAATGGTGGAAAATGTCAACTTAATTTTTGTAAACTATGCTTTTAACAATAAGTTAAACAACAGAATCAAATGCTCCTAATCACATTAAAGCGTTTTACATTATTTTATTATATTATTGCATTATTTTATTATATTATAATTATAATAATAATTCCTTACATTTATATAGCGCTTTTCTAGGCACTCAAATCGCTTTACACATAGAGGGTAATCTCCTCATCCACCACCAGTGGGCAGCATCCACCTGGATGACGTGACGGCAGCCATTTTGTGCCAGACTGCACACCACACACCAGCTGATTGGTCGAGACAAGACAGAGTGATGAAGCCAATTATGATATGGGGATGGTTAGGAGGCCATGATGGACAGAGGCCAGTGGGGAAATTTGGCCAGGATGCCAGGGTGAAACTCCTACTCTTTTACGAAGAACATCCTGAGTTTTTTAATGACCACAGAGAGTCAGAACCTCGGTTTAATGTCTTATCCGAGAGACGGCACTCACTGAGCAGTATAGAGTCTCCATCACCATACTGAGGTGTTAGGACCCACACAGACCGCAGGTTGGGCACCTCACTAACCTCACTAACGCCACTTCCGGCAGCAACCTAGCTTTCCCATGTGGTCTCCCATCCAGGTACTGATGGATTCAGTTTACAGTAAACTATACATTTTGTGTATATTGATCCAGTTTCAATGCTTGAAATGTACCTGTGCCAATGGAAGTGCCTCCGACAGCCCCTGCACTGGACAGGAGCTCCTGAGACTGTGTTTGCACACTGCTGAGGTCCAGGTCCAGTTTGGAGAGCTCTGTCAGTGTGTGTTTGTTGTCCTGCAGCTGCTCCTGAATGCGTGGCGTGAGGCCTTGAAGAGCCGACAAGGCCTGCAGGTGACTGCACAGATGCTCCAGTCTTTCTCCAATCACAGTCATTCTCTCATTCAGCTGATGTGGACATAGGGAAGCATACAGAGTGAGGTTACACTAATGCAGGGTTCCATGCAATTCTTTCAGGCCATTACAACCCAAATCGATTAAATTAACTTAACAAATTTAAGTGGATTGGACATGAAACAATTAAGTTGTCCCAAGAAATCTCAATACTTGCGTTTCTGTTCAGTTCAAATTTATTACATCTTATGCAGCATATATTGTGTTAACTGTAATGAACTGATAAACTGTAGTAAATACGGTAGTACACTTTGCAAGTTACTACAGTGAGCTAGTAGACTTTTATAGTATTTAAACTTGTATACTATAGAAAGAATTGTAGTGAAACAATAAATATTCATTCATTCATTCTTTTTCTTTTCGGCTTAGTCCCTTTATTAATCCGGGATCCAAGCCTCGGCTGGGTCAGTTGGCAGTTCTGTGTGGAGTTTGCATGTTCTTCCTGATTTTCCCCACAGTCCAAAGACATGCAGAACAGGTGAATTGAATAAGCCAAATTGGCTGTAGTGTATGTGTGTGAGTGAGAGTGTATGGATGTTTCCCAGTGGTGGGTTGCAGCTGGAAGGCCATCCACTGCGTAAAACTTATGCTGGATAAGTTGGCGGTTCATTCCGCTGTGGTGACCCCAGATTAATGAAGGGACTAAGCTGAAAAGAAAATGAATGAATTAATTTTATAAGAGTTTCTTTTTGTAAATCAGAGCTGCTAATGTGAACAGTGTGTATAAGTGTGCATTATAATGTAGTGAACTGTCTTTTTAGAGCAAAAGGCTGAGTTTCTGATTGCCTTAAAACTGAAATATTAAATACACCAAAACAACGACTATGAAGGCTAAAATGACCCTCAATAACCACCTATTTCTTTATTAGAGGAAACATTGAAAATTAGTGCTTGACAACTACCCTCTGAAGCTGATTAGCTGAATTCTCCAGTAAGCACCAGGAATGATTTAGCATCAGGTTCTCTGTATTACCTGTGTGTAGCGCGGTAGTGACTCCTCTAGCACTGCAGCTGCTTCTCGAACCCGCTCTCTGATGGCCAGGTGCTGCTCTTCAGTGTCTCTGGCTTTATGGCAGAACTCCTGTCCCTGAACCGCATTCAGGTCTGATAAACGCTGCGCCAGCATGATCAGCCGGGCTATCAGAGGCTTATGCTCTGCTATGGACTCCCTGGCGCCCTGTTTGGATGGAATGAAGAAGTTTGTTTGTATTGTTTTACCTGAAAGTATTACTACAGAACATCTAGACTACATTACAAAGTTACATTTCAGCCAAAAGTTTACCCAAAATGAAAATTCTGTCATCATTTACTCACCGGTAACTTGTTTCAAACCTTTGAGTTTCTTTATTCCGTTAAACACGAAAGGAAGATATTTTGAAAAATGTTGGAAACCTGTATACTCTTGACTTACATATTATTAGTTTTTCCTACTGTAGACGTCAATGGCTACAGATTGTCAGCTTACTCAAAATATCTTGTGTGTTCAACAGAGTAAAAAACTCAAACCGGTTTGGAACCACTTGAGGGATAAGTGAGTCACTTTTTATTTTGGGGTGAACTATCCATTTAAACTGTGTTCTCTAAGATATTGAATGCTAATAGTTTATAAAATAGTGTTAATCGCAATCTATCACATCTATGTTATCTTTTATTTTTCTTTGTGTGTGTCTGTGTGTGTGTGTGTGTGTGCGTGCATGTGTGTGTTTGTGTGTGTGTGTGTGTGTGTGTGCGTGCGTGTGTTTATGTATAGTTATTATGTATATATAAATGCACACACATACATAAAAACAAAACTTATTACCTGCCTATTATTATGATAGTGGCTGTTTATTAGTATTTATAACGCACACGTTTTGCATAACCTTGTTTTATCTAATACCTAAATACAACTACTAACTTAATAACTGTTAAAAAATAGCTAATTAGTAGTTTATTGAGGCAAAAGTCATACTTAATGGTTTATTAATATCTAGAATTGTACCTTTAAATAAAGTGTGATCAGAATTTGTACAATAAACATATAATACACATATATATATATATATATATATATATATATATATATATATATATATATATCAAACAAGTAGCCGTGCAATATGGCTGTATATCGGCACTGGTGGGAGGTGTACGTTGTCGCACTGCTACTTGTGTGATATTGCATTTATTCACAGATTGACGGCATAATCGAGTGTATAAATAAGACAATCAAACACGGAGAGCCTAAAAACCCTTTTGTATGAGGAACTACTTTCTTCCGCCATTCATTCACATCTGCAGCTGACGGTCAGTACAGCAGAAACCGTTACTAGTTCACCAACGTCTCCTAAAAGCTAAGATTTGAATGCTCCTCTAGAGTAATATCTAAAGCAATGACAAAACAAGTGATTTTGCTCACATTTTAATATTATCTGAAGGCTGAACTGCATGAAGCTTGCCTGTTTAATAATGGTTTGATCAGCTGTAGTTACAAATTACACTGTTTTTATTCTCTAAGGCAGTGGTGTCAAAGTCAATTCCTGGAGGGCCTGAGCCCTGCAGAGTTTAGTTCCAGCCCTGCTTCAACACACCTATCTGTAGGTATCAAACAAGCCTAAAGCACTCAGTTTGATCAGGTGTGTTTAATTAGGGTTGGAACTAAACTCTGCAGGGCTCCGGCCATCCAGGAATTGGATGTGCACATGTGCTCTAAGAGCTTATTATGCATTCTCTGTCACCATCTTGTGGATGGACAGCGTAAATTGTCTTTGTTCTGTTCAAAGACAGGCTAATGGCCACCGTTGTGCTGTCTCTGTGAAATTATATATTTAAAATAGGCACTATCCTTATAAATAAACTGCATAGTTGCAATCTAAACAACAACATTTTTAACAAAAAAAGCCTCAAAAGTACATTATCTTGTCCAACAGCAGTAATATTTGTCAAATTGTAGAGTGTCCTCTGCTGCCAGTATGTGAGTGGAGTATTACACATAACGGTAAACAGGCTGGACGTGTGCTGTTATTTGCAGAATAGTGCACAGTTATTAGCCAATCAGACTCAAGAACAAGACAATACTTGACAAACATGAGCATCTGTTGTTAATGTCTTTGTCTGGAGAGGCAGGTTGTTTAGTACCTGTAAAAGGTCCTGTTGTTCTCGAAAGGCCTCATAGCTGATGGTATTCAGTGTAAACTGACCAATAAGAGCTTTAGTTTCCTGTAACCATGGTAACACCTCAGCATAGCCCTCAGAGAACTGAGACAGGAGGGACTGAGCATGCTCCAGCTGAAGGACCACATGGGCATTGGTGGCAGTGGTGACCTGACACTGCTCCTGTAAAGTGTCTAGTGAAGACTTTGGAGAAGAAATAAAAGGTTACTGATAAAAAATAAAACTTTTCGGGTGTTAAAAAATTGTGAATAAAGAATGACCTGGTGTTACCTGGAGCCTCAGTGTCTCCTCATCCTCAGTGTACGTCTGCAGGAGCTCCAAGATCTTGGCCATTTTCTCAATGTTGAACTTGTGCTGCAAAATCTCCACAGCAAGATTCTGCAGAACAGGATGTTATATCAAAGATTTGGAAAAGTATTTGTACAATATTTGAAATATATATAGTTGATGATAAATTAGTAGCACAGTTTATCAGAGGGAAGATAATAGTTTTAATAATAGATTTCTAATAAATGAATTATTTTGTCTTTTCGATGATGATAATATACACAATATTTAACTAGATGTTTGACAAGATACTAGTATTGAGCATAAAGTGCATTTTAAGGTTAGTTAGGTTAATCAGGCAAGTCATTTGACAACAGTGGTTTGTCCAGTAGCCAATTGAACATCAATACTTCTTAAAGGGGCTAATAATATTGACTTTAAAATATTTTTATTCAAGCCAAACAAAAATAAATAAGACTTTCTGCAGGAGAACAATAAAATATGAAATACTGTGAACAATGTCCTTGCTCTGGTAACCATCATCCAAAGATTTGAAAAAGAATATAAATTTTACCTGAGGGGTGGCCATTTTATTTTCTGTTGTATATAGAGATGCAAAACTCACTTTCTGCTCATTGAGCTGGGATACAATGATGTCTGGGTGGAGATTAATGGTCCTGAGCTCTTCCAGTGCCAGCGAGGTGTCTTTAAACCAGGCCAACTCTTTCTCAACAGCCTGGTCCAACTGATTAAAGACAAACAGGTTGACTGGAGAGTTCACACTTAGCAGCTGCTTTAGATTTACAGTAAACTTCAGGCATCCTAAATTTAGATTCCTTGCTTATTGGAAATGTGCACCTCAGTCTACATTTTTTGCGAAACCTGAAATACATTGCTCCGGGTACATTTCGTTGCACGTTTCAGATGACAAATCCACTAGAGGGCACTCTTTACATTTTTGTGAACCTTAAAAAAAAAGTTTTTTGTTGTACATTTAGATACACGTCCTTCTTGTACATGTCTAGGAGAAGGCAGGGCTTGTCGTACAGATCAGCTAGCAAACCACTAAGCTAAACCCTTCCGTCCAGCAAAAAAATGCATGAAAATAATCCTTTATTCATCAATAACATGTCTCTGTAAATATCATTAGCGTGTCAGCGAGGTGTCTTTAAACCAGGCCAACTCTTTCTTAACAGCCTGGTCCAACTGATTAAAGACAAACAGGTTGACTGGAGAGTTCACACTTAGCAGCTGCTTTAGATTTACAGTGCACTTCAGGCATCCTAAATTTAAATTCCTTGCTCATTGGAAATGTGCGCCTTTTTTGCAAAACCTGAAATACATTGCTCCGGGTACATTTCGTTGCACGTTTCAGATGACAAATCCACTAGAGGGCACTCTTTACATTTTTGTGAACCTGAAAGACATCTTTTTGTTGTACATTTAGATAAACGTCCTTCTTGTACATGTCTAGAAGAAGGCGGGGCTTGTCGTACAGATTAGCTAGCAAACCACTGAGCTAAACCCCTCCCTAAACCCAACCAATAGTGTTTCTAAAATCAGCCTTAAAAAACCCACTGCCACCACATAGATTTACCTTGATTTTACATTACTTTATTCTTTTTTGTGGAAGAATACTTCAGCGCAATCAACCCGAGTGCTCTGCAGCACAAGCACAACACCGTACAAAGTGAGCTATGAGCAAACTGACCACACCAGAAAAGTGTCCGTATGGACGTAGATAGATGGCACAAACATATTCATTACAAATAATAGACAGTTTTTAGTTGTTTTGCTGTGTTTATTTGATGTCCAGCAAAAAAATGCATGAAAATAATCGTTTATTCATCAACAATGTTCCTGTAAAATATCATTAGCCTGAAAAGGAACACAAGTTGTTGTCGTCATGCTGCCCCCTAGTGTTTACTTTACCTACAAACCGCAGTAAAAAGGATGCTGAAAAAAGTTTTCCAGTGTCACAAAAGTGTAAGCTGAGGCACATATTTTCATGTTTTCTCCTACGTGGCTTGGCCAAATAAAAAACAGTTACTCTTACAATCCTCTTACCTTTTGCCTCTCAGAGGAACACAATACTGCATCCCCTGTCTGACTTTGGGCTGCAGGAACCAGCAGCTCTCTCTCGATACGTCCCAGCCACAGATGCAGGTCTTCCTGACTGGAGGTGCATCGACTGGACGCCTCTAAAGCCTGCTCTAACCTCTGCAGGACATCAGCACTGCCCAGACTCATCACAGAGTAGCGGATACGCAGACTGTCCACCCGCTCCTGCACAAGCTGGGTTTCCTCCTCTTTAAAGTAGCAAACATCAAAACATAATTTAAATAGGTTCTGGTGGAGATTGCACACATTAAGTGTATTAAGTACACTGTAAAAAAGTGATTAGTTTACTTTATTTTTAGAAAGTGAGTAAACATGTTGCTTTTAGTTGACTTAAGTTGACTAGTAAACGATTAGTTAACTTTACTTACAACCCCGAATCAGAAAAAGTAAGGACAGTATGGAAAATGCAAATCAAAGAAGAAAGTAGTTAATCTGGTCAACTTCATTTCATTTGTAAATCTACATCCTTTCCTGTCATTCAGACCTGCAACACATTCCAAAAACAAGTTAGGTCAGGAGCAGTTTAGGGCTAGTAATCAGGTACATTGGTTAACGATGTGATTTGAAACAGGTGATGTCAACAGGTGATTGTAATTAGGATTTGATACGAAAAAGCAGCATCCAAAAAAGATCTAGTCCCTTCCCTGCTAAAAAAAACACCTTAAACCAGCATAGGCTGGTTGGGTGGTTTTAGCTGGTTGACCAGCCAGGTTTTAGAGGGGTTTTGGCCATTTCCAGGCTGGTTTCCAGCCATTTCCAGCCTGGTCTTAGCTTGTCAGGCTGGGAGATGACCAGCTAAAACCAGCTTGACCAGCCTAACCAGGCTGGTAGCCCAGCTAAAACCAGCTGTGTCCATCTAAGCTGGTTTTAGTTGGTTTTAGCTGGTCATTTTCCAGCCTGACCGGCTAAGACCAGGCTGGAAATGGCTGGAAACCAGCCTGGAAATGGCCAAAACCCCTCTAAAACCAGGCTGATTAGGAGCAAAGATGGGCTGAGGCTTACCAGTTTGCCAACAAATACATGAGAAAATTATTGAAATGTTTAAAAACAATGTTCCTCAAAGAAAGATAGGAAGACATTTGGATATTTAACCTTCAACAGTGCAGAACATCATTAAAAGATTCAAGGAATCTGGAGGAATTTCAGTGCGTAAAGGACACGGACGCAAGCCTAAGCTGAACTACCGTGATCTCCGATCCTTCAGGGGGCACTGCATCAAGAATCCTCATTTATCTATAAGCGATATTACCACATGGGCTCAGGACTACTTTGGCAAACCTTTGTCAAGTACCACAATACAGAGTTCCATCCACAAATGCTAGTTAAAACTGTAGTGTGACAAAAGGAAGCCCTATGTTAACAGTGTCCAGAAGCACCGTCAACTTCTCTGGGCTCTGAGGCATCTGGGATGCATCATCACATAGTGGAAATGTGTACTCTAGTCAGATTAATCAGTTTTTTTGGGAGAAATAGATGCCGTGTGCTCTGGACCAAAGAATAAAACAAACAATCCAGACTGTTACCAGCAAGTCCAAAAGTCAGCATCTGTTATGGTATGGGGTTGTGTTAGTGCCCTTAGCAAAGGTAACTTGCACTTCTGTGATGCACCATTTATGCTAAAAAGTACATAGAGATTTTAAAGCACAATATGCTGCCTTCTTTTTCAGGGATGCCCATGCATTTTTCAACAAGACAATGCAAAACCACATTCCGCACACATTACAAAGTCCTGGCTGTGGAGAAAGAGGATACAGGTACTTGACTGGCCTGCCTGCAGTCCTGACCTGTCACCAGCAGAGAATGTGTGGTGCGGTTTGAAGCGCAAAAGGCGACAACCACGTAACCACAAACACCACGTACTGTTGCCCACCCTAAGACTTGTTTGCAATTAGAATGAGACAAAATTACACCCCAAACACTTCATCACTTGGTGTCTTCAGTCTCTAAACATATTTGAAGAGTTGTGAAAAGGAATGGCAACAGTACAAAGTGGTAAATGCTCGACTGTTCCAAAACATGTTTATTTAAAAAAATAAATCATGAGTAACACATTAAATAATGTTTGTTATATTGTCTGCAATGAGACACACTTCAAAGTAAATTTAGAAATTACTACTTTCTTACTTTTTTTATTTGTGTTTTCCATACTGTCCCAACTTTTTTTCTGGTTTGGGGTTGAGGGAGTAAACCTGTTGCTTTTAAAGCAATTAGTTGACTTTGCTTAACAAATTTAGTAAACTCTTTGCTTTTAAAGCGATTAGTTACCTTTGCTTTTATAAAGAAATTAAACCTGTTTGCTTTTAAAGTGATTAGTTGACTTTACTTAAAAAAGCCTGTAAACCCAATGCTTTTAAATTGATTAGTTGACTTAAAAGTGAGCAAACACGTTGCCTTTTAAATATCAAATAAATTAACAATGTGCATAATTATAAAAATTAGTCAACTTAACAGTTCCAAGTTACTCACTTTTTTAAGTAAAGTCAACTTTACACTTTTAAGTCAACAAGTTTGCTCACTTTTTCAAAGTAAAGTAACTAATCACTTTTCACAGAGTAGAAATGGGAAGCAACATCACCTGAAATCTTTTCCATGAGTTCGTGAGCACACTGCTGGAGCTTGCCCAAGTCAGCACTCTTTGCTTTTATTTCTTCCATGACTGCCTAAAAGGTGGTTAGAAATCTTCTACTTTTCACACACATATCTGGTTATATGTAGCTTTAATAATGTGAAAACTGTTATTACTCAATGTTTAGCAAACCTTGGCTTGTCCAGTGGCCTCTTGCAGATGAAGCATGGCTCTCTCCGCAGAACGGAGCTCAGCTAAATCCTGATCCACAGATATGAGCCATTGCTGAAGTCGGTCTGTCCTCTCCTGGAATAGCTGAGCCATTGGCAGAATCACCTCCAGAATCTTGTGTCTGTCAAAACAACTCACATTAAGCCATTGTTTATAGTATGTAGAAGTGTTATTGCCAGCATTATCTGTAAACAAAACCATGCTAACATACTTTATATTAAGCATCTACAATAATGCATTAGTGAAGCATGGTTAGTTTGTTCACAATTAAGCATTAGTTAATAACAAAAACACTAGTGATTATGGGTTAACTTAACATTTTACTTAACTGACCTGCTGGTGGCGCCCTGAAGCAGAGACTCCCACTTGAGTTTAAGCTGTGCGAGCTGCACTTTGGTCTTTTCACTGTCCTTTCCCTGAAGCTCCTCTGCCAGGGGTGGACCCTCCTGTATCATCCTCTCCATACTGGCTCTCCTGTCCTCAAGCAGACGCTGTAAAAGCTGCAGGACAAGAAACTTTTTAATTATACTTCCACCAACTCCAAAGCCTCTCCATATTGTAGACGATTCACTTGTTTAACCTGATTTATACAGATTATTGTGCGTCATATCTACAATATGGAAAACATTGCAAATAAAAGTTTTTTTTTTTAAGGTTTGAGGGGTAAGTTAACCCAAAAATGAGAGATTATCCCATGATTTATTCACCCTCAAAGCATTTAATAGGTGACTTTCTTCTTTCAATCAAACCCAATCAATGTGATATTACAAATGATCTTGAGCTTGTCCAGCTCTATGAAGACAACAGTCTGCTGATTTTTTATTATTTTAAAATCCAATAAAGTACATCCATCCAAAATAAAAGTGTAAATAAAGGTCTCATTTAGTGATTCCATGCATGTTTGTGAGAAAATAAAATGCATTTTTGTGTGCATATTTTAAAAATGTTAAGCCATTTTGTGTAACTTCCGGTGAGTAGAGGCCATCATCTTCTTCTATTTCATTTGAGGTACTTTTTGATGCATTAGCACCACCAGCTGGACTGTAGGTTTTTCTCGAGCGTAAAGTGCAGGCGCAATGGGCTCTGTGCACAGCTAGTGTTTTTCAGCCAATGGTAAACTTCCAGTGAAAGATTTATGTTACTATTTTCAATTTAATTTTACACCATTTTACACCATCAACATTGTAATGTAATTAAAATGCATCCAGTTAAGCATTCATTTAGTTGTTCAAGCATGAAATGAGATAAAAGCAGGTGAGCGCAGAAACTCCACTGAAAATACTGTGGTAAAATAAATGGTAAAATAAATTTTCTAACTTTAAAGACATGGCGGGGGGGATTTAATGCAGTGCTTCTTGTCCAGTCTGAGACCCACTTTATATGATATATCTATCAGGCAGATCAAGATAACTCATTTACCAAGAAATCAGATCATTCTGCGATTTTGTAATGGCGAGACAGTTCACTGAAAGCGATTGGATTGGCTGACGGAAAATTACAAGTCAGCGTGCATATACCCCATTGAAATTAATGCAGAAACGCAGTAAATATGCAGAAAAACCACACTCTTGTCCACATGGTGGCGCTAATGGACCAAAAATGCACCTCAAAAAAAGAAGAAGAATGGACTCTTGTTCTTGTGAAGACTTGCCAAGTCACCTCAGAAAAACAAACTTGGGAGACCTCAAAAACAGAGAAACAGAAGCCATTGGCGGTGTCATAACGCCCCATACCGTTCATTTTCAAGACGAAATGCAGCCATACAGACCTCTGACTACATAAGTTACACTCTCCAGAAATGTATACAGGGATATGTTTTCACAATGAACCCGTCTTTGAGGGTGAGCAAATGGGATAGGTTTCATTTCAGGGTGAATTACCACTTTTAGGCAAATTTTGGGCAAATTATATTTTGGACAGGGCCAATGTACATTAGATTATTACACACTGTTACCTACTATTACCAGCTTACAAGCTTTCACAAAATGTTGACCACCAAACATTTGAAGAAATTCACAGAACTGCCTCCCTTACAATGTAAATCGTTGTTACATTACATTATTACACATTGTTACCTACTATTACAAGTTTATGAGCTTTCATAAATTATAGCCCCTTGCACACATACAGACTTTTCCAAAAAATTACCGGCAATTTGCCGGAAAGGTCGGTATGTGTGAACAGGCCGTTAAATTCACAAAAAAATAGTTGCCGGAAAGAGCGCGTGCACGTCTATGATGTGAGACGTCTACTTTAGTCAATCAGAACAGTCAGACGCATTCACGTCCGCGCGGTTTATGAAAATAAAAGCCTTTGAATATTTTTCCAGACACATTTAGCGGCTAGATGTTAGTCAGACAACGTTTATATATTCCTTCTTAATGCCAACTGTGTAAATAATTATTGATAAGATGCTTATGATAAGCCGTTGTTTGTTTACCTTCAAGCATGCGTCGCATGTGCCCTTGAAGCAGTTGGTGAGCGCCAGTGCACACACACATCATGTACATCTCGACATGTGAAAGTGTTCCTCTTGACTACCAAATATTGGAAGACATTTACTAAATTACCCTCCTAACACACATGACTTTATCTTTAAGGGCACTTGGATGAGGAGGCAAGCACACGTTTACAGTGGTATTTCTACTTTCGAGAACCAACACCCTTCATAACGAAACTTGTTTTCTCCTTGTGGGACTAGAGTGCTTGGATCATGTGTCAGAAGAGCATTGTGGACATTCAGGCATGTTTCACCTGAGCTGAAGGAGAATGCTATTTCATACTGCAAGGTGAATTACTTGGTTTATTCCTCCCTTCCCTTGAGCCTACCAAGTATACAAAGTTTAACCATAGCTGGGTTTCCATCATCTTGTTCTAATTTTAAAGTATCGCATGAGAAACGAGAGATGGAAATGCCAAATTTCAAATAAAAATCCTTTAATTTCCATAAAAAATACATTTGCGAAAAGGGGTTCATGTACTGTAAATAATGGGAGATGGCAACACATTTGCTGAATTAACTAGCAAAAATTACACACAGGTGACTCTATGATTGCCTTGTTTACTGTTGGTTGCTAGGTTACCAATACTGCAGTCAGCCACTCTAACAACTTAGTGGAAACACACCTAAAACTTGTATTCTAAAAAAATATGGCCTAATTAATTCAAATATATGTCCCAAATATGGATGCAAAGAATATAGATTTTGGTTGTACGATTATAGTCTCTATGATGATCGCCTTGTTTACTATTGGTTGCTAGGTTACCAATACTGCAGTCAGCCACTCTAACAACTTGGAAACACAACTAATCCACACTTTTTGCTAAATTTCGCTTCAGGTTAAGATGGAAACTCGATTTATGAGGTATTAATTGACAATATTCTTTGCTTATTGTTTGTTACTTTCATAAACATACCTTCTGTTCTTGCAGCTGGGCTTTCACCACCTTGAACTCTGAGGATGGTGGTTTTTGATTGGCTGTCAGCTCCTCGATCTCACAGACCCAAGTCATCAGCGTTTCCAGATTTTCCTGGAATGCCTTCAGATCCTTGAATGCGTCTTTCAAAGCCAAAGTGCTTCTTCCATCCTTATAACAAGACCAGATAATATGCTAAAATCTTTCAACCTTTCTAATAAAGAAAATCAATTAAAGTCCAGGTAAAGTTATATCAAAATATTATTATTTTTTTATTATTTTTTAATATTTGTTCGGAGTTTGACATGCAATGAAAAAATATGTTATTAATCACACAGCTAAATTTGATGGCAAGTAATTAAAATATCTATAATAATGTTTTAGCTCCGCCCAGAAAATCTTAAACACAGAAAAGGCAAACAATTGTTTAATGGTTTAAAGGTGCCGTGCATGTTTTTTGACCCTTCTAAATCATTAAAATACCATAATATATTTGCAAATATTTAAGAAACATGCTAAGAGAACATACTTGTTGATCTGAAAAACAATGCTAAATTCGGTTATTCTCCGCTCACCACCAGTTTACCTAATCATATTTCAGCACCTCGGGTTGCCATAGTGGAAAATATTGTATTTAATATTAATTATGAAGTTTGTCTTAATGTATGTGGGTGCAGCCGAAAATGCGACCTCCAGAAGAACACAACAGCCCCTGAAATGGGATGCAGATTCAAAGTTTTTTTTTAATTAGTAACCCTATTGATAAAAAGAGCTTAAACCAGCCTGAGCAGGTTGACTGGTTTTAGCTCATCAACCAGTTGATTTTAGAGGGGTTTTGGCCTTTCCAGGCTGGTTTCAAGCCATTTCCAGCCTGGTCTTACCTGAGAGCCCAGCAAAACCAGGTTTAGGCTGATCATTTTCCAGCCTGACCAGGTATGACGAGGCTGGAAATGGCTGGAAACCAGTCTGGAAAGGCCAAAACCCCTCTAAAACCAGGCTGGTCGACCAGCTTAAACCAGTCAACCAGCTTAGGCTGGTTAAAGCATTTTTTTAAGCAGGAAATAATTAAAATATTACAAACGTAAAACATTAGCGGATCGGCATGCAGTGTAAGACATGCTCCTGTTGGTGTCGTCAACCTTACAATCTGTGTGTGCATCAAGTCTGAGGAGCACGGGCTTGGTAAAAAAATCCTATTCAATATTTTGAATTTGTACTGCAATACCTAGTTCAACCATGAGGTGTTAATTTCACATACTACATGTTTAACTTCACAATTCTTTACTACATACTCCAGAGTCTTTGTAACGTGTTTCAGCAATACATTCTAACATTTATAATGAAACAATTCTCTGAATCCTCTTTACCGGGACTTTAAGAAAAGACTAACGTATTGTACCTTCCATTGATCTAGACTTGATTCCTGGTCTGAACTTGACTGGCCATCACTCTGCAGCTGTGAATCACAATACAAACAAAAAGTTACAAGTTTTATTTAATTGGAAAACAAACAACTGGTAAACAAAGCAGGACTTCAAAAAAAATCTATGAAAATGGTAAATGATGGTAGAAACTAAATGTTAGGAAGAACCGTAAAAAAAAAATCATGAACTTTTTACATTTAATCCTAGTCTTAAGCAAATTCCTTTATCCAAAGTGACATTCAAATGAGGATTATAAAAGCACTTCAGGCCACCAAAGAATATTGATTTATAAGTGCCATGAAAAGTCTAAGATAAGTTGGTTTAGCTTTTTTTAGGTTGCATAGGTTGACAAAGACGAAAACAGTAAAGGAATAACTAGTAAGTGCTATTGCTAATCATTTATAAATGATAAATAACCTCTGCAAGTTCCTCAGCAGCTCCGGTAAGCACTCTAACAGTTCTGGTGACAATAGGATCACCTCCTTTCCCAGCAGGAGGATACTCGGTCACTTCCACAATCTCTGTCACAATAGTCTCCGTCACCTCTGTCACCTCCGTAACCTCTCGAGTGTTCAGAGGCTTCCAGGACCAGGGACTCCCAGAATCCCTTCTCTGCAGGCTGGCTCTCCTGTCCACAGATCCATACTGGCTTAGGGGGGATCTTCTGTACTCCGGAATACTAGACTTTCTGGGCAAAGAGCCATTGTGTGGAGTCTTAACAGGGGACGGAGTGCTTCTCCAGGCATTGTCCAGAGTGCTGGTAGTGGTGACGGTCGGGGCAGGGGAACTCCTCTGTTTGTCTGGTGTGGGAGTTTGACGGATAACCTCATCCTCTTTTTTGGTCTCTTCTCGAGGAGGCTCCGGGATTGTCCATTCCTTGCGTTGCTGGTAGCACTCTTTCAGGACGTTCTCATCTGACTTAACTTGTTTGGACTTTTGTCCTAAACAGCTAGGTCTGCTAATGAGGTTACCCATGACTCTTCAACCCACGGGTTAACCGGGTCTCTTTGCCATACATACAGACATCACCTAAACTACCTACAACACAAGGAAGGTCACAGTTTGTAAATATTTGTATTAATCAGTAAAAACACCTCTGCGAGAAACGCTAAGTAGCTATGTAGATACGAAAAAAATGCTAAGTAGCTAAAATAAGTTTTCAAAATGTTTGAAGAGTAGGCAAGACTCTCTGCTCTCTAAAGGCTGATTTATACTTCTGCGTCAAACACCGGCATATGCTACGGCACTGACGCATAGCCCTTCGCCGTGGCCGTCACTGACGGGCACCTCTCAAAAAATGTAACTACACGTCACAACAACGCATAGCGCAAGCTCTGTGATTGGTCGGCTTGGTAGCGCTGACGAGTCGGGGTGGGACCGAGAGCCGCACGAATGGCGCGAACCCAATGTAGCGATTGTTTACAAGTGTGGAGTCCCGTGAAGGAGCTCCAGATGGAAAGTTTTGTTTTGTGTTTACCTCATAGTTAAAGTTGCTGCACGTCCGCCGGTTCCTGCCTCAAAATGAGCGAGTTTGAGCCACTTGTACATCCCGGAAGTGTTCAGGAAAATCAAAAAAGCAGTGAAGAAACTCGACACAGAGGAACATTTACACCTCACTGCCAACTAGCGTTTCGGAAGTGTTAATGCAGACCAACAGAGACAGCGCGCAGAAGTATAAATGCACAGCCACGCGCGTTGCCTGTGCCGTGGGTTACGCCGACTACTTGATGCAGAAGTATAAATCAGGCTTAAGGCAGAGGACGTGTCCGCTGGCGACTCTGAAAACAAGTGCACTCACGAAAAAGGGCAATGTCTCAACTATCCAATACCACTACAACCTGAATGGATGCTACTGATGCTACCTCTAGTAAAGTTAGCTTAATTAGCTTAATACAGCTATACAAATTTGAGCCTCCAGAACCAGAATCCAATTCAAAGGACAATGACTGGTAACCCAGGAACAGACCTCATCCCACTCGCTCTGCAACTGATTAGTAATATTTTTCTTTATTTAAAGGGCACTTAGGTTACCCCTTTTTTCAGATTTAATATAAGTCTTTTAGAATGTGTATATAAAGTTTCAGCTCAAAACACCCATCAGATTTTTCATTATACCTTTTACAAGATGCTGTTTTATACTGATTTCCACCAGGGGGTGGTTTTGTCGTACTGCGCCTTTAAGGCGAGTTCTGCCCGGCTATTTTTCTACGTGCCTTCCCGCGTGCATTAATCTCCTCCCTCGGCTGCGTCAGACAACAGACAGACTTAAAGGAAGAAGGTCTCATGTAGCGTTTGTGAGAAATACTACAGTAAGAACTAATCTTTACTAATCAGTGTTATGAAGTTGCATTGATAAGTCACACACAACATCGTTACAAAGTTCACGCGCGCACGCACACACACACACACACACACACACACACACACAGAGATACGCACACCGCAGTTGACACACACACACACACACACACACACACACAGGCAGGCAGACAGACAGACAGAGCACGCTTAGCTTAGTACTGTTTTTGCACTCAAATGTGTCAGGATACAGGCTAACCTCAAGTACTGTGTGGATATCTGTTATGCTAATGTACAAAATAAACCTGATTTAACGTCCACAAACCGGGATTGAAGCGTCTTCTTTTATAATTGTTCTGACACGCGGCTGTGCTGATGAAGTAAAGCTGAAGTAAAACGCTGTAATTAATTACACACGTGCTCTGTTTTAAAACATTTTAAACATGTGAAACTTACTCTTAATATCATTTGATGATGATTGCTGATCCTAGCGAACAGAACAAACCTTTTATTCCCGGTTGCTTTGCTTATGTCTGCCTGGTCTTGTTGACATATACACGTGACTACCGGAACATGTTAATGCGCAGCTGTCAATCAATATTGGTGGGCGGGGGGATCGCACTCCTACGTAAAGTTGCGGTCGGTCTGCAAACCGCTCTAATTGGTCCACTGTTTTTATGTTGTTAAATTGAAAAAAAAAGGACTGGGTGTGTTTATATCACCCCAATATGATGGTCTATACACTATATTCACACATATGTTTGTCCAAACAGCTTGAAAAGTAGATTTTTCACTATAGGTGCCCTTTAATACAAGTTTGCAATATGTAGCACTATAATAACACTTTGTATCTTTATTGTGTCAGAGTCGATGATTTAGGTGCACCCAGAAAATCTTGAACACTGAATTGGTGAAAACTATTGTAATGGTTAAAAGGTGCTGTGTGTAAGTTTTTGACCATTCTAAAGCATAAAAGTGTCATGATATGTTTGCAGATATTTAAGAAGCATGCTAAGTGAACATAGTTAAGCAATGCTAAAGTCATTTATTATGCTTTTATCATCTGACTTAACTAGTTTGGACTTCTGTCCTAAACAGCTATAGGTCTGCTAATGAGGTTACCCATGACTCTTCAACCCACGGGTTAACCGGGTTTCTTTGCCATTCATGAAGACATCATCTAAACTACATACAACACAAGGAAGGTCACAGTTTTACTTATTATTACTTTAATTAATACTTTTATTAAACAGTCAAAACACCTCCGAATGAAAAAGACGTGTCCACTGGCAGCGCTGAAACCATGCCCACTGACGAAAGCGCAGCCATTTCTCAACTGTCAAACACCACTACAACCTGAATGGATGCTACTGACTCTACCCCTAGTAATGTTAGCTTAATTGGCTTAATAGAGCTACAGTATACATATTTGAGCCTCCAGAACCAGAATCCAATTCAGAGAACAGCGACTGGCCACCTCAGAATCAACCTCATCTCGTTCTGCAAATGAATAGCAATGTAAACAGCTATAGGTCTGCTAATGAGGTTACCCATGATTCTTCAACCCACGGGTTAACCGGGTGTCCTTGTTACATACAGACATTACCTAAACTACTTACAACAGAAGGAAGGTCACAGTGAGAAGACTCATTCATTCATTTTCCTTCGGCTTAATCTATATTTCAGAGGTCACCACAGCACCAACTATACTGACATATACCTTACAAAGCAAAGCAATTGGAACAAACTCCACACAGAGAAGCCAACTGGCCCCGCCGGGACTCGAACCATAGACCTTTTTGCTGTAAGGCCACAGTGATAACCACTGAGCCATTGTGCCGCTCTCAAAAGAAATTTTTAATTAGAAATTTATACACAACTGTTCATTTGCAGATTTTTTTTTTCAGTGTACCACTATTAAACAAATGTTAGTCTCCCGTTTCCAACTGCAATCTTTAAAGGGCCATGAAACCCCCTCGTTTCAGCAGGGTGTTTTCACACCTCTACTTTGGAAAAAGCCAGAAAAGTGGGCGTGTCCAGCTCTGTTTAGGGGGGAGTGTCGGAGGAGCAAAAGAGGGATGGTGTGGGAGTGTTTATTTGACCACGCACTGAGTTTCAGAGTCAAAACACACACACACACACAGGGGAGAAAGTGACTGTGTTTACATGGACATCTATAATTAAATTATTCGCCAATTTATTAAATGGTGGACTTTAACTGCAGTTTGCCTCTCGTGACAAACAAGATATTTGATTCGAGGAACTGCTCTAACCGTGTATTTTTCATGCAATGTTTGAAACCGCACGGCGAATGAGAAAAAAAAATAAACTCTGCATTTCTCTGTAACTTAGATGCATGTTATTCCGGTCACAAAATGCAGTGAAAATCCTACACGACAGTAATAGTTTGGTTGTGGTGCTAACATGTTTACACTTGGTGCAATAGTTAGTTCGATACAAACAAACTGAATAACCAAAAAGCACTGGTCGCTCACTAACCAAATCTGTAGAGACAGAACAATCCACAGCAACTAGAACCGCCTCTTTACTAAGAGGAAAAGAGAAGCGAATCCAGATCTCCATTTGCAGAAGAGAAAAGCTCTCGGGTAAACAATGTTCCTTAGACACGCAAGTTATTGTTGTCGCGCGCCCCGTCGCGTACACTGTAATCCACGCGTGATTCCAGCTGCGCTCTCACAGAGAGAAAATGAAAACAAAACTTCACTTCAGCAAATTAGGAAAGCAACACTTCACACTTGTTTTGCCAACACAATGTGGCGTCTCTGCAGTAACGCCGTCTACACTGTAACATTAATGAATATTAATGTAGTTGGACAATAGAGCGCGCTGATTGATTTGAACCAAGTCTTACTCATGCATCAATGCAGCACACTCGGAGACGTAATACGGTACACCCAGGTACAGTCACCCAGTCTACACGCTGGAATACATGCTATGATCTCATGGTCGAGACGCAGCTTCAAAAATTAGTTTCGAACCTAAAGTACGAATTTGCTCGAAATAACGCAAAAACTACCAATTTTCACTTTTTAGTGAGATATATGTGTCCTAATAGTGTTTTTAGCAGTGTGGGACACATATACGACTGACAACACCTAAAAAGATGTGTTTTGGTGTTTCGTGACCCTTTAACAGAGGCTTGTCAAGCTCAAAGACCACTACGTTTAAATCTCAATTAGATTCCTTGCTGTCTTACAAAGTAGAGTCTTTTACTGTGTTCATGCCAACAAACACCACCATCATTATTTACACGACAAAGAGGGTAACACTTGACTGCCAATCCTGCCAGATTACTGCTTGAAAACTACAATATGATCACAGATCTATGCTATTACTAGCCATGCAAGTGACAAGCCTGTTTATAGGGATAGTCCCGTCTAGGATCCCCACAGTTCTTCCTGGCATCCACAGCCACTGTACTCTGCCAAGACCGTCCCCGGGATGGCCCTGGGAAACTATTTAGCTCCTGATCAAAAATGACAGGCATGGAAATGCTGTTTCATTTCTTTGCCACAAATGAATGAACAATGTTTTTTTAATGCACGTGGTCACGGTTTACTGGGAAACACAGACCCCATGCCTGAGGTGCAGAACAGGGATGAACAAGTAGACAGAGTATAAACTGAAAAAAGACAATGACAAAAGACTCGAGAGAGGGGGTTGGCTGAGATTCAACTCAACAATGTGAAATTACAGTTCATCTGCGTAGGCACTTTGCA